CTCGGAGCGGAGCGGTGCGAGTGAGGAGTCGTCTCAGGCACTGCCTCACCGTGGCAGCATGGTAAGCGATTGGGTTGGTTCATCGGGGGGGGGAAAGGGTTCTAGGTCACCGCGCGGCAAGACTTAGAGTCAAATCTTGTTTCTTCTGATTCAGTTTCCGCTGCTGCTTCTGACACACTCTTCTCTCTGTGCTGGTTGCTGTGTTGTATTGGCTGCTCTGGTCGCTTTTCGTTTCTTCAAAATCAGTTTTTGTTTTCGTTGCGTTTTCGTTTTCGTCTGCTCTGGTCCGTTTTCGTTGCTGCCTCTGACGAACTCTCCTCTGCGTGCGTGTGCTCCGTTGTACTGGATGCTCTGCTTTGGGGGTCTCCCTGTCCGTCTTCTGGGTCGTCTCAGAAGCTGGCTCACCACGGCAGCAAGGTGAATGGTTGGGCAGGTCTATTGGGGGGGAAAGCGGAGTCTAGGTCGCCGCGCGGCAAGTCTTAAAATCGTTGTTTCTTCCAAATCCGCTGTCTCTGCTGCTACTAATGCACTCTCCTTTGTGCCCGTCGTTGCTGTGCTGTGTTCGCTGCTGTGGTTCCGGTGCCTCCTCCCCTCAGGCCAATGGACCCATCACTATTGCTTCTCGGAGAAGGAACTGAGCGAGGGAGGAACTGAGCCATCTCATCTCAGAACATGGCTGGCTTACAGTGACCGCAAGGTGAGTGCATAGGCGGGTCTGTTGTGGGGTTGAGGGCAGTCAAGGTCGCCGTGCGGCAAGTCTTGGATTCAAGCTTTGTTTCGTCCAAGTCCGTTTCCGCTGCAGCTTCTGACGCACTCTCCTGTGTGCTTGTTCCTGTTCTGTGTGCTCTGGTGCGGTGCGGGTGCCTGGTGGGTTGAGAGGCGTGGAATGGGCGTCCCAGGGACAGGAAGTGTTGCTTCCAGTGGTGGCGCGTCGGAGGGACGCAGTGGCGTGGCTGGGTTGATCACTGGCATTCAGAGGGACGTGCTGGCAGTGCGTCCCAGGAAGGTGCCTTGCGAGTGAGGCGTGGGGGTCTCCCTTCTGATCTGTCTCAGGCTCAGGCTCACCAATGGTAAGTAGTTGGGCAGGTCTACTGGGGGGCAGAGCAGTCTAGGTCGCCGCGCGGCAAGTCTTAGAATCAAGTTTGTTTTCTTTCGAGCCCGTTTCTCTGCAGCTTCTGACTCTCTCTCCTCTGTGCTTGTTGTTGCGCTGTGTGCTCTGGTGCGGGTGGGTGCCTGGTGGGCTGAGAGGCATGAGATGGGCGTCCAAGGAACTGAAAGTGTTGCTCCCGGGGGTGGTGCATCCCAGAGACGCACTCGCGTGGCTTGGTGGCGTCACTGGCACTCAGAGGGGCAGTACAGGCAGTACAGGCAGACCCTCGCATGGCTGAGCGTATCCCATCCTCGTCCTCTCTTGCACGTGCAAGGCAGCAAGTGTGTTCTTGCACTGGGGTGGGAGGAGCAAGGCAGCACGGCACCAAGTCTTTTGAAGGCTCGTGCCGCAGTGCAGAGTCTTGGCTTCTATTTGCCTCTTCTGGCTTGTCTTTTTCTGATTTCTTTCTTCTGCTGCCTCTCCGCTTTCTGTAGTGACCTGTATCGTCCAATGTTTCAGTCATATCATAATTGCCCTCGAATTATCTGCTCTTGGTTTTCTCGAGGTCTGAATGCGTGTCCTTCCAACGTTTTCCCCGTAAATCCCTTTACCACCCTCACGCAACAGGCGTGGTTGTAGCAACACAATCAACTTGCATGCAGGGAAGGACACAGGAAGGGAAGGAGGGAAGGAGGGAAAGGGGGAAGCAGGGAAGGACAGAAGGGAGGACAAAAGGGCTGCTTAAAAACGAACAAGGTAAATATCATCCCCTTGCTGCGCCCACCCACCCACCCATGCTTGCCATACTGTGCTGTCGACTGAGTCCCTCTGCCATCCCGCCTTCAAACCGCACTCGTGCCTTCGCCTTGTTTTCTTGTTGTCTCCTGCTTACTGGTCACCCCTACTTTCCAGGCTACTTTCTCCTGAACCCACTAATTCGTCACTTCAGTTGCACATGCCCCTTCCCCCATGCCATTTTCTGCTCGTCGAAGTCATGTTACTGCTATGTTCTTTCAGCTGGCTTCCTTTTGTTTCTCCCTTATATCTCTTGCCCCTCCTACTCCCAGCTACTTTTATCGGAACTTTTTTCCCCCCTGTGGCATTCATCCTCCCCACTATCTTCTTCTTCCCTTGGCCGCTCAGCAGAAGCCAACAGGAACACCAACAACCGGAGTGGCAGTAGCAGTGACGTACCGGTATCATATGCATAACAGCAGTCGAAACAGCAGTAGCGGAGTAGTGGGGCATGGTTCGTAGGCAAAGGAGTGCTAGGAGGATGGTGAGGTATGGTAAGGAATGGTAAGGTACGGTAAGGTGCACCCACCAAAGAAAGCCAGGGCACTAGAATCAACCAAACCAACAATAAAAGCAGGCAGGTCTAGCCAAACAGGCAAGCGGCCTAACAAGACGTGAGACGACACACCAAACGAAATCAATACCCACCCAGGGATGAATGTGCAAAGCCCATTTACAGGAGACAGCCACCACACTCAACCAGATAAACTGGGCACGTGACATGTCGAACCAAGGAAAAGACTCCCTCCTTCCTTACCCAACCAAGAAGACGCCACGGTCACGGACTTCCACACAGCATTACCTACTGAACACGGATGCTCATGTTGCATCACCCAACCAGCACCATCATATAACATCTGCATCACCCAACCAACACAGATGTTCAGACATCATCACCCGACAGATACAGCTAACCATAGCTGCTCATATAACAGACGCAGATGTCCATCCAGAATCACCCAAGAGTCTCTGTTGCTCCTACAGCATCCATCTATACACGCACAAATTCATGATACGATGGGCCCAAATGAGACACAATGGCAGGCACAGTATGCTGGAGAAACCGACAGATACTAGTAGGTTTCACAATATGATGGTAATGCTTTTTCTTCATTAAAGATACAAATCTCTAGGCTCTCCTACACCAAGTAAAGGCTCCCCCTGCTCGACCACCCCCAGATGGCCTCGCATCTCCTCGCTATTGCAGTTTCAGCACGGCCGATGTACCTGGCCCGGACTATGCCGCCGCGGCCGGAGGTGGTGGAGGCCTTTAGAGAGTGGGACAGCTGTCTGGAGGATTGCTTTGAGCAGCTTTTCCCCCCTGGCACTTGGGAGCAGGATCCCGGCAGGTCTAGGCGCGCACGCATGCAGCTGCATCTCCCTGTGCGCCTCGGAGGGTTTGGGATCCGGGCGGCGGCCTCTTTGAGTCCGCTCTCCTATGTTTGTGGGTGGGCGCAGGCCGCACGGGATATTGCACATTTGGGGGTGGCGGGCGAGGAGGCGATGTTCGCAGAGTACCTCACCACTTCGGCGGGGGCGGAGCTTCTTGACCCGTGGTTTGCCAAGGCCATTGAGCAGTTGCCCGCGACTATACGCCAGGAGCTGCCGGACTTACCCCTGTGTGTGGCGGCCCCTCCTCTTCGGCTTTTCCAGGCGCGGCAGCGGCAGTTGGCTGTTGAGGAGCTCCAGGCACTCCGCCGCTTGGCTCGTGACGATGCCACCCTAGCCCGTTTCACATCCCTTCAGGGCCCGGGGGCTGGTGCATGGGTTTCGGCAGTTCCGGCTCATTCAGATCTCACATTCACTGCAGCGGAGTGGGGCATTGCTGCTGCTATACGGCTTGGTCTCCCAATCCAGCAGCTGCAAGTGGCGGGGAAGTGTGTTTGTGGCGCAGCGTATGATGACCCAGCAGACCCGCATCATGCGCTGAGATGCAAGCACCAACACGGTCCATCTCGGGTGCATGATGAGGTGGCAAAGATCGCTAAGGCGTCAGGGGGGGTGGTGACGATGGAGGATAGTGCGGTGCTGCCGGGGAAGCGGGTTGACGTAGCGGTGCGACGACCAATGGCTGGGGAGGCTCATGCTTTAGAGATTAGTGTCGCGGACCCGCTATCACTGTCTCCATCTCTGCTAGGGCAGTGCGGGCGGTCTATAGGCGTGGCGGCAAAGGAGTGGGAGCGTCGCAAAACGGGGGATTACGCGCCTCTTCTTGCACGGAACCGAGGCGTGCAGTTCACCCCTTTGATAGTGGAGACGTGGGGGTGTCTCGGCGGTCGCTTCCGGCGGTGGCTTCGACAGCAGGGGGACGCGCACGTGGGGCTAGCTGTGTCACGGGGGGCTTGTCGGGAGGATGACACTTCGTTCTCGGCTTACCTTTTGGGGTCTCTGAAGGCGCTCATCGGAGTGGCGTTACAACGGGCGCAAGCTCGTGTCATCCTGCTTCGGGCGGCGTCTTCCATGGGGGGGTTGAATGTGGACTTGGTGGATCGGGAGAGGGACGATGTCGAGGTGGAGGGCGGGCCTCTTTGGGTGGAGGCCCCCTACATGGTGGATGTGCAGATGTGACTTGGGGGGGAGGGGAGGGAGGGGGGGGGGGGGGGGGGCGAGGGGGAATGGGGTGCGAGATGGGACGTCTGGTAGGGGATCCTGGTTGGGTTTTTTCTTTATAGAGTATTTTTATGGGGCTTTTTATGGGTGTTGCGTTTGAGTTGTTTCTGGTGTCTTTCTTTCCCGTTCAAAAAAAAAAAAAAAAAAAAAAAAGTAAAGGGTAGCATGGCTGCTGGCGATGTATCTTCCAGGTATATGTGTTATTGTTGTCCTGGAATAGACAGTGTATGGGTGTACTGTCAATATTGATTCTTCAGATGAACATCCCGTTTCAGAGGTGTTCCCCTCGAACATGCCGATGAAGCCACGATCAATGCGCGACACGGAGACCTCGAGAAAATTATGGATCATCTCTGACGCGATTTTGAAGCTCGGATTACCCGAGCACAGCCACCATCACCATCGACTGCATCCACACTTCATGAGAGTGACAACAGAAATCAAAGCACCGCACGGTGCCTTTGATCCATAGAGTTCTCTCGGACAAGCTGGTGTAAGCAGCGTGATGGCTGAGGGTCTGTGGCGAGGGCCTAGCGCCGATCAGGATATTAGATTTTCGGATAAAGACACGAAGCTCCTGAAGACACAACGATTCGCAAAAATATTTGATAAACCTGTAAGCTATCCTCTATCTTTGCAATGATGCGACGTTGTATGGGATTCTTCGTCACCTGATGGATCGTTCTTTTCAGGTGGACATGAAGAAGGTAAAGAAGGAAGTTATTTACCCGTGGATTGCTAGAAGAGTGACTGAGCTTCTTGGAGTTGAAGACGAGGTTCTAATCAACTATATTTTTAGTCTACTCCAAGACGAGGTGAGCTTAATTTGTGCTGCAAGCTCTATTATACGAAATTTGTTTCTGATATTGCGGTGTGTGCTCTATTTTCAGATTACGAAATGCGATCAGGTGTGCTTTGTTAACGCACCTTATGCTTCATTTCACGTCACATGATGGCAGGTGGATCCTAAACGCATGCAGATACAGCTGACAGGATTCCTGGAGAATCACACGACTACTTTCATGAAGGAATTGTGGAGAATTCTCCGTAACGCTCATCGCAATGAGCACGGGATTCCGCAGAAACTTCTGGACGAATTCGCAGAGGAAAATGGATTAATTGTAAGACAGCGGTGTTTCTTTGCCCGAATATGATCTGTGCTTGTTACTCCAATTTACGAACGCTTTCGTCTTTTTTATTCAGCCTACTGAGGTAGGAGATGCGAGAAAAAAGGCATTGGAAGCTGCTGCAAGGCTCTCGTCAGATATCCTTGAGGATGCTCAAAAGGAACGCGGGACGAAAGAAGACCACGAGGTTCCAACGGTCGACCGACTCGGAGATGCAGATTTACAGAGATGCAACCGAAGCAATACTTTCCACGTGCACGATGAAGACTGGAGGAGGTATTTTTCGGAGTCATCATTTATCACAATCCTCCGGCAGAGTGGCCAATTTTGCTGACGCTCTTATTGTGTTCTTTGTTTTTCAGGAAGCGCAGTTTTAGTGCAGTTGAGAAACGTGATTTTAATGCGCAAAAGCGTAGAAGGTTCACGAACCATCATGGAAATCGTTACAACCACAGCGATCGATTTCGACCCAATAATACCCATCGCTCTGACTTTCAACAACAGCCTCAATGGCATCGCAACCAACGACGTAGTAACTGCAACCCACAGCAATCATGGTCGTCGGGAAAAACATACATAAGGGAGGGAAATGGCAGGTCTTTCCGAAGAAACAACTCGAACCAGCGTAATTCTGCCAACGTGACATACACACCTCGATTCGAATGCTCGCGAAATGAGACGGATTCACTAGCCGAACTGAATGTCAACATTGAGCGGCAAATGACTTACCCTCCCGGATTTGAGAAGAAAATCAACGCAGAGTTCCACGACGATCAAGATACGCAGCCGCCTCAGTCACCACCCCCAGGATTCGAACGTCGTCGAGAATGGCGTTCTGAGACCCAATCACGGTAAGAAAATATATGTTTGTTGCATTATGCCTCGTTTCTGGCTGGGATTTCTTGCTGATGTCCTCTCATATTTGTTTCCAGGAGTTTCAAGAGGCCTTCCTCTCCTCAATCCAGGTGGAAGCCCCAGCCTGAGGCGCGTCTGGGTTTTGAAGGGTCATGTGAAGAAGCTAAAGCAGAACAGTTTCAGAGCTTTCAAGACACTGCTGCCACTAATCCTGACACTGCCCAAGTTGAAGATCATCAGTGTGCTGCTGCGGCACGTACTGCTGGTGGATCTGTGCAGGATATTGGAGGTGCAACTGCACAAGTTGCTGTTGACGGTGGAAGGTTTGTTAAAGCTGTATCTCAAGCTGCCTGCAGTTCTGCACAACCCTCTTCTAAAGACATCGCTGCTGCAGCTCGTGGAGTGGAAAATGCTTCTCATGGACAGGACAAGTTTCACACAAGCCTAGACCACCAAGACTCGAGTCACCAGGTTGAAGACATGGACATCTCGTCTGAAGATGAGTCGTGTGCGAAGAAGGGCGTGATGGATTCAGCAGGCTCCGCAGGAGAGTGGGAGAAGAAGAAAAGGGACGAGAGGAAGGCAAGGAAGAAGGAAAGGCGGCGCCAGAAGGAAGAGAAGAGGGCACGGAAGGAGGTGAGACGGAAGAGGAGGGAGGAGAAGCGGCAACGTAAGGCAGAGAAGCAGGCTGCCAGGGAGGCGAGCAAGAAGGCGGAGAGGGGTGGAGATCATCTAGACGACTGGATGCCCCTCCCGATGATGGAACCTGATGCGTTGAAGCAAGATGCAGAGATTCAAATATGTTCCCAGGAGTTTGAGGAGAGAGACAGAAGGTGGCTCGACAGTGTCCTCCTGGATGGTCCTGCTGACATTTCACAACCTGAGCATCCTGATTGGGGCTCCATGCCAAAGCTGGCTGCAGTGGGCGGGGCTCTGATGGAATCTCAGGAGCATCACAAGACAATTACTGCAGATGAGCAGCGAAAAGCAGATCTGGAAAGGGACTTGAGGATGAAGGTGATGCATTCTTTCCAAGCAAGGCGCCTGACAGTTGGAGATGCTGCTAGCCTGTAGACAGTGGACACCACTTGCCATGCCAGACAAGTTCAGCTGTTAGCTTAGTGACCACATTCATTACATATGTCTGATTGTCTAGATTTGTTAGCTGATTCAGAATTTTGATTATTCTTTATCGACTTTGACATTTGCCAAATGCTCAGAGCGTTTCCCTCTTCTTACTGGAGCTCTTTCGACAAATGTGGGAGAGGAAGTGCTATACATAGCTGGACGTTGCACAAATAATGCTCATTCCATCAATGACGTCAGACAAGGGGCTCAGACATAGAGAACCCTAACGGATGGACAATGTGCAGAGCAAATCAAGTGGACCTTGCTTAGTCGAACAGGCTGAAACCCATATCCTGCACATTGTAAAAGAGGGGTAAGGCACATGGAACCGAAATTGGTAGAAGGAAAACCACAACGGGTTGCTAGGGAGCTAATGAATCACTGCTAGAAGCCTGCTTGAAGGGTAGACGACCCGTAATGTCATCTACTCCAAGTAAATAACCATCAACTGCTCCCCTCTCCACGGTAGACTGCTAGGATCCATCTACTACCAGCTTTCAACTCTCGTTAAAAAGCTCCCTGTCTGCCGAGCGGGAACCAATGTTGTGGTTCTGCTAGGGCTACGCAAAGAGATAGCTTTCAGTCGGTCTTGAAGCTGTAACTAAACCCCCTCCTGGTTATAAGTTCCCAGAGAGCAGCTGTGCACGTCGCTGCCACGCTTCTTGGCTATAGCTACGACTACGCGTTTCGGAATAAGGAGAAAGCACGGAATTTGAAGCGCAAGGGAGACAACAGCATCTAGCACGTGGAAAGTAGAGAAACGGGAGGGGCGGGGGACATGGAGAAATTTAAGCAAACAAAGTCAGCATTGGAGATGAAACGAATGATACGTACGTCGTCAGACTCTTCCTTCTCCTCCTCCTTCTTCTCCTCCTTCTTCTCCTCAGCGGGGGCAGCAGCAGCGGCAGCGCCACCGCCTGAAGCGGCAACGGCGACTCCGCCACCGCTGGGCACCGCGGCAAACTTCTCTCGACCAGCCGCGATGACCTCGTTGATGTCCTTGCCCTCCAGCTGCTTCAGCAGCAGGTCTATCCTGTCATCATCGGCCTCAGCGCCAACTGCGGGATCACACGAACACGAAGATTGACGGGGCCACGACAGAAAAGCGGGGAAAGGGGGGTGTAGCGGGGAGGGAGAAGGAGGACAAGTTAGGATTATGGACTTCTGGAGAGCTTGAGGGCTCAAATTTGCGGAAAACTACGGATCCGACTATCAAAATTACCGCCAAAGTATTCCTCATGAACTTCAGGCCTCTTGTGTATCGAACAATTTCATGTAAATCGTGTGAGATCTAAACCCTGACGCGCATCGCGAGGCCGGTAGGGTTAGCGAGCACATGCCTGACGAGAGAATGGCCTTGATATCGGCAGCGGCGGGGCTCGCGTTGCCTCCGAGAAGCGCGAGGAGGTAAGCGGCGACAACCTTCATTGTGGCTGTTCAGGTGGGGTCGAGCACGTGCGACTAAGGGAGGAGTAGGAGCGATGGGGTAAAGGCAGAAAGGAGGGCGAAAGGATCACAGTTATGCTGCTATTGGGGCTTTGAGGGAGGGCGCTGGTAGGAGAAAGGAAGAAACGTGAGGGGAGGGTGGGGGGGATTGGGACAAAAAGGTCTCCGCCCCTGGGGGAAGAAAAGGTGGAGTTGGGGCAAATTTCCCACCCTGGCGGAAGAACAGCTGTGGGGGGCAACTGCTACTTCTTTGGAGTGGGTTTGGGGATGGGGGGCGGGAAGTTGGCTGACGTGGTGCGCCACAGCTGTACCCTAATAGTGAATGTGACCCAATCTGCACTGCTTACTCTCTCGTTGCTGATGCTTTGCCGCAGGACTTCGGTTATTAAATTTCCTTCGGCCTAAGAAGTATTTTCTGTTTGTATTATTGTGTAACGCGTCGTTTTGAAGGGAATCACGAAAAGTTAAGAGTTTCCTTCATTGTTTCAGGCTGCTTGTTCCAGCCTATCCCCGAGACTGCATGCACAGTGTAGTCACGGCGGAGTCAAGCACGGTTTAAACGGATAAAAGACGTTTGAGTGCGATATGAGGAAACAAACAGAGATCCAGGGCTCTTGTAACTGAGATATTCTCTAGGTTGCCCAGCCCTAATAGCTGTTGGTAGGGTTTCTCGTTACTCTTGCCACCGCGCCATCTCCTCGCCTTGCGTGAACATGGCGCCATCCGGATCAGGCTGTCGCCTAGACGCAGGATAAAGGACATTGCGATAAGATTTCCTCACGGCCTAGTTTTAGCGTCGACCCTTCCTTTTTTCAGATCTGCGATCTGAATCGGAGTTACGTGTTTTGTTCCGAGACTTGCGAGACTTGAGATCGGTGACCTAGCTTATCTTTGCCAGCTCTTTCACTCTTACTTTTCTTTCCTTTTAGCCGTCATCCATTTAGTTAGGCGTTAGTAGGTGGTCGTCTTTTCAAAATTACCTTCGTTTTCATTTCACGAAGCCATGGCGGGCCGTTACCCTTATTCCGGTCCGGGAAGCAGCAGCCAGCAGCAGCAGCATGCGCTACCTCCGAATTCCGAAGCGGCGTTGGAGGAGAAGGCGAGGAAATGGCAGCAGCTGAACCAGAAGCGGTACGCGGAGAAGCGGCGGTTCGGGTACGTGGAGCACCAAAAGGAGGACATGCCGCCGGAGCACGTGCGCAAGATCGTGCGCGATCACGGCGACATGAGCTCGCGCAAATTTCGCCGCGATAAGCGCGTGTACCTTGGCGCGCTCAAGTTCGTGCCGCATGCGGTGCTGAAGCTTCTGGAGAACATGCCGATGCCGTGGGAGCAGGTAGGCTCTTGTTTTTCCTTTATTTCTTTCATTAATTCATTCATTCTTTCTTCCTCTACTAGTTTTCCTTTCTATCCTTCACTAATTTTCAAGAACCAGTCCATTCTCAATCTGCTTTCTCGTTTTATCGGTTACCAGGTTTTTTTTTCAAGTCAATCTCTTTCACCGTTCTTTGTTTGCCCTTTCACCTAGTTCGTCGTTTTCCTTCGTTTCGTCCATCGATCTTGTCACTGCCTTCTCGCGAATTCCGTTTCCTTTTTCTCCAATTCCGTTTGCTGTGCCATTTCCCTAATTTCCTCTGCTTCCACCTCTTCTCCTTTCCCTCTCATCCCCTCCGTCCATCAGGTGCGGCACGTGAAGGTGCTGTACCACATAACGGGCGCCATCACGTTCGTGAACGAGACGCCGCTGGTGATACCGTCCGTGTACATGGCGCAGTGGGGCACCATGTGGATCATGATGCGCCGCGAGAAGCGCGATCGCCGCCACTTCAAGCGTATGCGCTTTCCGCCCTTCGACGACGAAGAGCCGCCGTTGGATTACGCCGAGAACGTGCTCCACGTGGACCCTCTGGATGCCGTCCAATTGGAGCTCGACGAGGAGGAGGACTCGGCGGTCTACGATTGGTTCTACGACTCCAAGCCGCTTGTCAACACGCGATTGGTCAACGGGCCGAGCTACCGCAAGTGGGAGCTGAGCGTCCCGATCCAAGCAACCCTCTTCCGCTTAGCGGGTCAGCTTCTATCGGATTTGATCGACGAGAACTACTTCTATCTCTTCGATCTCAACTCGTTCTTCACGGCAAAGGCGCTCAACATGTGCATCCCGGGCGGGCCCAAGTTCGAGCCGCTGTTCCGCGAGAAGCCCGAGGCCGAGGAGGATTGGAACGAGTTCAACGACATCGGCAAGCTGATCATCCGCACGCCCATCCGCACCGAGTACCGCATTGCGTTCCCCTGGCTCTACAACTCCCGCCCGCGCAAGGTCGCCGTGCAGGCCTACCACACGCCGCAGGTGAGGCGGCTGGAGGGGCTGGGGCTGGAGCTGGGGCGGGGGCGGGGGCGGGGGCGGGGGCGGGGTCGGGGGCTGGGGCTGGAGCTGGGGCTGGGGTTGAGGGGGTCATGGAATGGGGGAGTGGGGAGTGTACGGGTGAGAGACGGCAGAGCGGGTGTGATGGGTGCAAGAGGAGCTGTTCGCGAGAGCGTATTCCAGCCTTGGCTGCTGTCGTTGCACCCCCTTCCTCCTACCCAATTTTTACTTGCGAACTTATGCCCTTGGTTGCCCTTCCTCACTTTCCCTTCCTCACTTGCCCTTCCTCACTTGCCCTTCCTCACTTGCCCTTCCTCACTTGCCCTTCCTCACTTGCCCTTCCTCACTTGCCCTTCCTCACTTGCCCTTCCTCACTTGCCCTTCCTCACTTGCCCTTCCTCACTTGCCCTTCGTCACTTGCCCTTCCTCACTTGCCCTTCCTCACTTGCCCTTCCTCACTTGCCCTTCGTCACTTGCCCTTCCTCACTTGCCCTTCCTCACTTGCCCTTCCTCACTTGCCCGACTATACCACTCGTGTTTTCTCCACCCCACTCGCCCCCCGTCCTCCCCCCTTCCCACCCTCCCGACCTCTCTTGCAAATTCTTGCCCTTGGTTGCCTTCTCACTTGCCCGTCTATACCTGCACTTGTGTTTTCTCCACCTCACTCGCCCCTGTCCTCCCCCCTTTTCCACCTCCCGTACCCTCCCCTTCCCCTTCCTCTACCTCCTCACCCTTCCTTTGTCCCCTTTACCACCCCCTTCGTCATCTCCCCCGCTTCCTCCCCTCCCCCTTTTCTCTACCCCCCTTTTCTCCACCTCCCCTTTCCTCTACCTCCGCTTCCTCCCCCTCCCCCTTCGCCTCCCCCTTTCTTCTCCTCCCCCGTCAGGTGATGCACATCAAGTCGGAGGACCCATCCCTGTCGTTTTTCTACTACTAATCTTACTATGTCTTCTCTTCCTCCCACCCGCCCCCTCCCCCACTTCCTCTTCCCCCACCCACCCACTCGCCCCCTCCCCCACTTCCTCTTCCTCTTCCCCCCAACCCTCCCCACCCGCCCCCTCCCCCCACTTCCTCTTCCCCCCCCCCGCCCCCCCCTCTCAGGTGATGTACATCAAGTCAGAGGACCCGGACCTGCCCGCCTTCTACTACGACCCGCTCATCCACCCAATCCCGCACTACCGATCCGAGTCCCGAGCCTCGCGCGCAGCCCTGGAAGAAGAACTGGAGGAGGAGGAGTGGACGCTCCCCGAGGGCGTCGAGCCGCTCCTCTCCTCCACGCCTCTTTACACCGACGCCACAGCAGCCGGCATTGCACTGCTCTGGGCACCGTATCCCTTCAACCGGCGGTCGGGGCGGACGCGGCGGGCCGAGGATATCCCGCTGGTGGCGGGGTGGTTCAAGGAGCACTGCCCTCCCAACCACCCTGTGAAGGTGCGCGTGAGTTACCAGAAGCTGCTGAAGCTGTGGGTGCTGAACGAGCTGCACAAGCGGCCGCCCAAGTCGCACAAGAAGAGGGATTTGTTCCGCGCGCTGAAGCAGACCAAGTTCTTCCAGTCCACGGAGTTGGACTGGGTGGAGGCCGGTTTGCAGGTGTGCCGGCAGGGCCACAACATGCTCAACCTGCTGATTCACCGCAAGAGCCTGCACTACCTGCATCTGGATTACAACTTCAATCTCAAGCCAGTCAAGACTCTCACCACCAAGGAGCGGAAGAAGTCCCGATTCGGCAACGCTTTCCATTTATGTCGGGAGATCCTCCGGCTGACGAAGCTGGTGGTGGACGCGCACGTGCAGTACCGGCTGGGGAACGTGGACGCGTTTCAACTCGCGGACGGGCTGCAGTACATCTTCTCCCACGTGGGGCAGCTGACGGGCATGTACCGGTACAAGTACCGGCTGATGCGGCAGGTGCGCATGTGCAAGGACCTGAAGCACCTCATCTACTACCGCTTCAACACGGGCCCGGTGGGCAAGGGGCCGGGGTGCGGGTTCTGGGCGCCCGTGTGGCGCGTGTGGCTCTTCTTCCTCCGCGGGATCGTTCCGCTGCTGGAGCGGTGGCTGGGGAACCTGCTCGCGAGGCAGTTCGAGGGGCGGGCGAGCAAGGGCGTGGCGAAGACGCTCACCAAGCAGCGCGTGGAGAGCCACTATGATCTCGAGCTTCGTGCAGCCGTGATGCACGACATCCTCGACATGATGCCCGAGGGCGTCAAGCAGAACAAGTCGCGCACCATCCTGCAGCATCTCTCGGAAGCGTGGCGCTGCTGGAAGGCCAACATCCCCTGGAAGGTCCCCGGACTGCCGGCGCCGATCGAGAGCATGATCCTGCGGTATGTGAAGATGAAGGCGGACTGGTGGACCAACGTGGCGCACTACAACAGGGAGCGCATCCGCCGCGGGGCCACGGTGGACAAGACGGTTTCGAGGAAGAACCTGGGGCGGCTGACGCGGCTGTGGCTCAAGGCGGAGCAGGAGCGGCAGCACAACTACCTCAAGGACGGCCCGTACCTCTCTCCGGAAGAGGCTGTCGCGATCTACACCACCACTGTTCACTGGCTGGAGTCGCGCAAGTTCCAGCCCATCCCGTTCCCTCCTCTCTCCTACAAGCACGACACGAAGCTGCTGATCCTGGCGCTGGAGCGGCTGAAGGAGCCGTACAGTGCGAGCGTGCGGCTGAACCAGCAGCAGCGCGAGGAGCTGGGGCTCATCGAGCAGGCGTACGACAACCCGCATGAGGCGCTCTCCCGCATCAAGCGCCACCTGCTCACCCAGCGCGCCTTCAAGGAGGTCGGCATCGCCTTCTTCGACCTGTACACGCACCTCGTCCCTGTGTACGACATTGAGCCGCTGGAGAAGATCACAGACGCGTACCTGGATAACTATCTGTGGTACGAGGCGGATAAGAGGCGGCTGTTTCCCAACTGGGTGAAGCCGGCTGACACGGAGCCGCCGCCGCTGCTGGTGTACAAGTGGTGCCAGGGCATCAACAACCTGCACAACGTGTGGGAGACGGAGGACGGGCAGTGCGTCGTGCTGCTGCAGTCGCGCTTCGAGAAGCTCTTCGAGAAGGTGGACCTGACGCTGCTGAACCGGCTGCTGCGGCTCATCTGCGACCACAACCTGGCTGACTACATGACGGCCAAGAACAACGTGGTGCTGAGCTTCAAGGACATGTCCCACACCAACACGTACGGGCTGGTGCGCGGGCTGCAGTTCGCGTCCTTCATCACGCAGTACTACGGGCTCGTGCTGGATCTCCTGCTGCTCGGCCTCACCCGCGCGAGCGAGATCGCCGGCCCGCCGCAGCTCCCGAACGAGTTCCTGACCTTCCGGGAGGTGAAGACGGAGACGCGGCACCCGATCCGGCTGTACTCGCGGTACATCGACCGGTTCCACATGCTGTTTGTCTTCACGCACGAGGAGGCGCGGGACCTCATTCAGCGGTATCTCACGGAGCATCCCGACCCGAACAACGAGAACATGGTGGGGTACAACAACAAGAAGTGCTGGCCGCGGGACGCGCGCATGCGGCTCATGAAGCACGATGTCAACCTGGGAAGGGCGACGTTCTGGGAGGTGAAGAACCGGCTGCCGAGGAGTTTGACGACGCTGGAGTGGGAGGAGAGTTTCGTTTCGGTGTATTCCAAGGACAACCCGAACCTGCTCTTCAGCATGTCCGGGTTCGAGGTCCGGATCCTGCCGCACGTGCGCATGTCGGCTCGGGAGACGTTCGGGCAGAAGGACGGCGTGTGGGCGCTGCAGAACGAGGCCACCAAGGAGCGCACGGCGCAGGCATTCCTCCGCGTGGACGACGAGCATCTCAAGCTCTTCGAGACGCGCGTGCGGCAGATCCTCATGTCGTCTGGCTCCACCACGTTCACGAAGATCGCCAACAAGTGGAACACGGCGCTGATCGGCCTCATGACCTACTTCCGAGAGGCCACGGTGCACACAGAAGAGCTGCTGGACCTGCTGGTGAAGTGCGAGACCAAGATCCAGACGCGCGTGAAGATCGGGCTCAACTCCAAGATGCCGTCGCGGTTCCCTCCCGTGGTGTTCTACTCGCCCAAGGAGCTGGGCGGGCTGGGCATGCTGTCCATGGGGCATATCCTGATTCCGCAGAGTGACCGGCTGTACAGCAAGCAGACGGACATTGGTGTGACACATTTCCGCGCGGGGATGAGCCACGAGGAGGGGGCGCTGATTCCCAGCCTGTACCGGTATATCCAGCCATGGGAGAGCGAGTTCGTGGATAGTCAGAGGGTCTGGGCGGAGTATGCGCTGAAGCGGAGCGAGGCGCAGGCGCAGAATCGACGGCTGACGCTGGAGGATCTGGAGGACTCGTGGGACCGGGGCATTCCGAGGATCAACACGCTGTTTCAGAAGGACAGGCACACGCTGGCGTACGACAAGGGGTGGCGCGTGCGAACGGGGTTCCAGCAGTACCAGTTCCCGAAGCAGAACCCCTTCTGGTGGACGCACCAGCGGCACGACGGCAAGCTGTGGAACCTCAACAACTACCGGACGGATGTCATTCAGGCGCTGGGAGGCGTGGAGGGTATTCTGGAGCACACCCTGTTTAAAGGCACCTACTTCCCCACGTGGGAGGGTCTGTTCTGGGAGAAGGCGTCCGGGTTCGAGGAGTCGATGAAGTACAAGAAGCTGACGAACGCGCAGCGGTCGGGGCTGAACCAGATCCCGAACCGGCGGTTTGCGCTGTGGTGGTCGCCGACGATCAACCGGGCGAACGTGTACGTGGGGTTCCAGGTTCAGCTGGACCTCACGGGCATCTTCATGCACGGCAAGATCCCCACGCTCAAGATCTCGCTCATCCAGATCTTCCGCGCGCATCTGTGGCAGAAGGTGCACGAGAGCGTCGTCATGGACATCTGCCAGGTGAGGAAAGTGGAGGGGGAGGGGGGGGGGGGGGGGTAGGTGGCAGGTGATGGTGGTGGGCTATTTGTGACATGCGTATCGTGGGTTACATGGGCATCTGTGGCAGAAGGTGCACGAGAGCGCCGTCATGGACATCTGCCAGGTGAGGAACGGAGGGGGGAAGGTCTGCCAGGTGATGGGGGAGGGCTGATGTGGGTTACATGGCATGCGCGAGGCGGGTTACATGGCATGTGCGAGGCGGGTTACATGGCATGTGCGAGGCGGGTTACATGGCATGTGTGGCAGAAGGTGCACGCGAGCGTCGTCATGGACATCTGCCAGGTGAGGTTGGATGCCCGAATGGACTGCACCAAGTGGCTCTTCACATTTTCAATTTTGGCATTTGTCTCTCAGGTGAATGTTGCCGTAACACTTCGTCATCCTTCCATCCCATCCTTTCACGTCTCAATCCGACTCGCCACCCTCGTCCTACACCTGTTCCCTCGTATTTGCCTCTCATCCACCCTCGAGCAGGTGCTGGATCAGGAGCTGGACGCCCTCGAGATCGAGACGGTGCAGAAGGAGACGATCCACCGGCGCAAGTCCTACAAGATGAACTCCTCCTCACCCCCTCGCTGCCTTACTGGTTCTTTCATCCACCGCAGGTGCTGGATCAGGAGCTCGACGCCCTCGAGATCGAGACAGTCCAGAAGGAGACGATCCACCCGCGCAAGTCCTACAAGATGAACTCCTCGTGCGCCGACGTGCTGCTCTTCGCGGCCTACAAGTGGCCTGTCTCCAAGCCCTCCCTCGTGGCCGACTCCAAGGACGCCTTTGACCAGAAGGCCACCGACAAGTTCTGGATCGACGTGCAGCTGCGCTGGGGCGACTACGACTCGCACGACATCGAGCGGTACACGCGCGCCAAGTTCCTGGACTACACGACGGACAACATGAGCCTGTACCCGTCGCCTGCAGGGGTGATGATCGGGATTGACCTGGCGTACAACCTGTGGTCCATCTATGGCAACTGGATCCCTGGCATGAAGCCGCTGCTTGCGCAGGTGAGGGCTTGAAGGCTAGAGGGGGTGTGTGAGCGATAGTGCGGGAGAGGGTGATAGGTGGAATGAGTGTGATGATCGGGATTGATTTGGCGTACAACCTGTGGTCCATTTACGGGAACTGGATCCCCGGCATGAAGCCGCTGCTTGCACAGGTGAGGGCTTGTGAAGGTTGAGGGTGGGTGAGAGAAAGGAGGGGGAAAAGGAGGGGGGGGGGGGGGGGGGTGGGGGGGAGGGTGGAGAGTGGGGTTTGGGGGGGCGGTGTTGGGTTGTTGAATGAAGGGCGTTTGAGTCTCAACCCTCGATGCGTGTCCCTGTTCTGCCTCGCTCACCATATGTTCGGTCCTGCTTGTGCATCCTCCTGCTGCTGCCCCTGCACCCCCCTGCTCACAGGTGATGGCAAAGATGATGAAGGCCAACCCAGCGCTGTACGTGCTGCAGTTGTGGGATTGCCCTTTCCTCTCGTAACCCCATCCTGCCCCTCTCCTCCCCCCACACCACCACCAGGCGATGGCAAAGATCACAAAGGCCAACCCAGCGCTGTACGTGCTGAGGGAGCCTGCACGTCAGCACGCACGTACAGTGCCGCATTCACAAGGACCTGCAGCTCTACTCCTCCGAGCCCAGCCAGCATTGAGACATTTCAAACTGCAACTTAGGGTTGGCCTAAGTGTGTGTGCTCGGAGGATGTGTGTGCACTTCCTCTCCTAACCCCATCCTGCCCCCCCAACCCCTCTTTCCCTCCCCCTTTCGCCCACCACCAGGCGATGGCAAAGATCATGAAGGCCAACCCAGCGCTCTACGTGCTGAGGGAGCGCATCCGCAAGGGCCTGCAGCTCTACTCGTCCGAGCCCACCGAGCCGTACCTCTCGTCCCAGAACTACGGCGAGCTGTTCTCCAACCAGATCATCTGGTTCGTGGACGACACGAACGTGTACCGCGTCACCATCCACAAGACCTTCGAGGGCAACCTCACCACCAAGCCCATCAACGGCGCCATCTTCATCTTCAACCCGCGCACCGGCCAGCTCTTTCTAAAGATCATCCACACGTCCGTGTGGGCCGGGCAGAAGCGTCTTGGGCAGCTGGCGAAATGGAAGACCGCGGAGGAAGTCGCAGCGCTGATTCGATCTCTGCCGGTGGAGGAGCAGCCGCGGCAGATCATTGTGACGAGGAAGGGCATGCTGGATCCTCTTGAGGTGCATCTCCTCGATTTCCCCAACATTGTCATCAAGGGGAGCGAGCTCCAGCTGCCCTTCCAGGCGTGCCTCAAGATCGAGAAGTTTGGCGATCTCATTCTCAAGGCGACCGAGCCGCAGATGCTGCTGTTCAACATCTACGACGACTGGCTGCGCTCCATCTCCTCCTACACCGCCTTCTCCCGCCTCATCCTCATCCTGAGGGCTCTCCATGTGAACAACGAGAAGGCCCGTATGCTGCTGCGCCCGGACAAGAGCGTGGTGACGCAGGCGCACCACGTGTGGCCCACGCTGACTGATGAACAGTGGATCCGCTGCGAGGTGGCGCTGAAAGATCTGATTCTCGCGGATTACGCCAAGAAGAGCTCGGTGAATGTGTCGGCGCTGACTCAGTCGGAGATCCGGGATATTATTCTCGGCGCGGAGATCGCGCCGCCGTCCATCCAGCGGCAGCAGATCGCGGAGATCGAGAAGCAGGCCAAGGAGGGCGGCGCGGGCGGTGCACAGCTCACGGCGGTTACCACGCGCAGCACGAACAAGCACGGCGACGAGCTCATCGTCACCACCACCTCGCCGTACGAGCAAGCCGCCTTCGCCTCCAAGACCGACTGGCGGGTCCGAGCCATCTCAGCAGGGAACCTCCACCTGCGCGTGGGGCACATCTACGTAGCCTCGGACGACCTCCGTGAGACCGGCTTCACCTACATCCTCCCTAAGAACCTCCTCAAGCGGTTCGTGTGCATCTCGGATCTGCGCACGCAGGTGGCGGCGTACATGTACGGGGTGAGCCCGCCGGACAACCCCCAGGTGAAGGAGATCCGGTGCATGGTGCTGGTGCCGCAGTGGGGGACCCACCAGCAGGTGTACCTCCCCCAGCAGCTGCCTGAACACGAGTATCTCAAGGACTTGGAGCCACTGGGGTGGGTGCATACCCAGCCGAGCGAGGCGCCGCAGCTGAACCCCCAGGATGTGACGCAGCACGCTCGGCTGCTGGAGGGGAATCGGTCGTGGGATGGGGACCGGTGCATTGTCGTCACCTGCTCGTTCACTCCCGGATCGTGTTCGCTCGCTGCGTACAAGCTCACGCCGGCCGGGTACGAGTGGGGACGGCAGAACAAGGACGTGTCGGGCAGTGCGCCGCAGGGGTATTTACCGACGCACTACGAGCGCTGCCAGATGCTGCTGTCGGATCGCTTCCTAGGGTTCTTCATGGTGCCGGACACAGGTGTGTGGAATTACAACTTCATGGGCGTGAAGCACTCGCCTGGGATGAGGTATCGGCTGTCTCTGGCCCCCCCGAGGGAGTTTTACCATGAGGCCCACCGGCCGACGCATTTCCTGGAGTTCAGTCATTTGGATGTGGCTGCTGCGGCGGCGGCAGCGGCTGAGGGTGCTGGGGCGAAGTCGGCGGCAGGGAGTGGGAAGGCTGCGGCTGGGGAAGGGGAGGAGGCGGACCGAGAGGATGTGTTTACTTGAGGGGTGGGAGGGTGGAAGGGCTCACTTGGGGTGTTGGATACTGAGCAGAGCAGCAGCAGATGAGATGCTGGAGGAGTGGGAAGGGTGTGGCTGGGAAAGGGGAGGAGGAGGACTGAGAGGACGTTTTCACTTGAGAAATGGAGGGGTGCTGCTGGGTGTTGGTTTTGGAGGGGAGCAGCATCAGCTGGGATGGTGGAGGAATGGGGAGGGGGAACAGAGGAGAAGGTAGGAGCAGAGGCAGTGGTGCTCAGGGGGAGGGGGAGGGGGAAAGGGGGGGTGGGAAAGGTGGTGAGAGAGAGGTGAGAGTTGGCCATGCACTGTGTTTCTGCAGTTTGTGTCTTGGTGACGTGTGTGTGGGGCTCGTGCACAGATACACGCTGGTTGTGTCAGTGGATGGGTGATGGTGGTGTGCTGGGTGGGGCTGGTACCTGCTGCTGCTGCTGCTGCTGTGTGTGTGTGCTGCTCTGCACGTGTACTGTTGTCACTCCTTTCATCGCCTGTGTTTGCAGGCGGCTCACCTTTCACCTCCCACCTGTGCTGCTGCACTCTTCTTGCTGTGGAGAAGGTGACTGCTGCTGCCATGCGATGGCATTGATTTGGGCTACTGGGGCCGATGACTCTTTCTTTGTTTTTAGCTGACTCCTTTGATTAGTGACTCATCATTGATTTTTCCAAGTACTTCTGCAGTTGAACATACGGTACCTGATTGTGCCTAAACATGACCAGTTGCCAAGCCTCTAGTGGAGCATTGGATTCAGAACATGCTCATGAAAACTCAGTTAGCATGTAGCAGCTGCTGCTGTGGTGAAGTGGATTGGCAGCACAAGCACCGACTCTGTTGCTGTGTTGTTAACTTGTTAGGTTGGATCAGCGGCAGTTGACTAGCAGGTGAATTTGTTCTTGATCCATCTCCTGTAGCATTGAGTAAAGTAGAGCTTCCTGCATGACACTGCCCATACAGAAACAGTAGCAATGAGCCAATGGGAGACAGCAGCAGGGACAAGAAGAGGGGTGGGTGAAACCTCTCTCACATATCAGGGGTGGGTGAAACCTCTCTCACATATCAGGGGTGGGTGAAACCTCTCACATATGAGGGGTGGGTGAAACCTCACATATGAGGGGTGGGTGAGGGACAGCAATGAAGTTGTGGATATCAGTGCATGCTGCCTGGTTGCATGAACTACAGAATGAATTTTGAAGGTAGCTAGTGTCTGGGTGAGTGAGTGGGCCTTACCACAGGTATTGACGAACTGAAATGTCCCCACGGGGCATTTGGAACACATCCATGCATCTGGAGGGTTTCCTGCGTTCTCCACCCCCTCGCTGCTCCCATCCCCATCATCACCGTCATACACAGGCACGCATACCTTCCCCCCTTTACAAGCACACGCCCTCTTAGCCACTATGCATTTGCCACCTGGCCTCTGAGCGGATAAGGTGGGACACGTGGCAGCACTGCCTCCAACCAAGCAATTGTGGCTGACATCACAGTCGATGAGGTGGCGGGCAGCGGGCAGCCTGCCCGAGAGGAAATTATGGTGGACTTGGAGCGACTTGAGTGTGGGGGAGAGGGCGGGGATGGGTCCTGTCAGCTGATTGGCGTAGAGGGACCTGTGACACGAGACAGGGAAAGCCAGAAGAAGAGAAGAGAATACTTGAGGATAGTGGATGGGGGGGTGGAAGACTGGAAGACTGGAGAGCACGAGAATAGCTCAATCACGAGGATGAGGAGCGTACAGGAATTCGATGGAGTCAGACTGGGTGAGGTATGGTGGTATGGGGCCATAGAGCGAGTTGACAGACAAGTCCCTGAGAAGACATTTGGAACAAAACACGTGAGAGGTGGATTGTACAGTGTATGCATGCATGGAATAGCATGGTCAGCCTCCCCAAAGTGGTCGAGAAAGGTGCAGATGGGTGTATAATGTAGCGTGGAATTGGGTGGCAGGAGCAGGTGAGGGGGGGGTAGAGGAACTGACAGGTATTTAAGGCGGGGCAGGCAGTTGATGACACGGGCGAAGGAGGAGAGCTTGGCGTTGAGCTGGAAGGCGTTGAATGAGCTGGTCGGTAGGAGGCCAACGTCCAGCAGGTTGAGACACATATGTGTTCGGTTGTGAATAGGGGCCAAACTTGCAGTACTTTACGTGGCTCAAAACAGAGAAGAGTCAAGTCACCGCAGACGGAGTTGCACATGTGTGATACGGTATGAGGAAGAAGAATTCCCAGCACAATATGTACGATGCAAGTGGTTGAATGTAGGTGGCGTACAGAAGCGTAATGGTTGTGAGTTTAGCGAGGGCCGCTGGGAGCTGTGAGAAGCCCCCCCCGACCTCACCATCTGGAATCACTGGCGCTCTGTTTTGGATGTGATCGTAACGAAGGGGATGATGGTAGCCAAGTCAATAAAGTAAGCCCAGCGATTACACCCCAAAGCATAAATCAAGACAACCCAAATGCTTTTAACTACTTGTTCACTCACATGGATATGGGGAACCCATAGTCATCGCAGATCACCCCTCTAAACCCCGTGCCCATGCCATCGTCCGAGCACAATCGCCCCTTGACCCAGTTGAGTCCTTGAGGCAAGGCTAGCTCCCTTGCCACCTCATGCATCGCTGCGGCTGGAATTATTACAACGAAATAGCGCAAAATTTTATCAAGTGTAAGTTTTGATGCATATAGACGTAATTTATTAATGTTAAGGGGAAGGAGGTGCGGAAATGGCGCAGAATCTCAGGTTTTTGGAATTCCATTTGCTCATGGAAGGCTGTATAAAAGCTGCTAAGCGTGGCATAAAATGGCTAACAACAACGCATTTTGGTTCGGGAGAGATGATGGGAATACCTATGTTTGCATTGAATGGGATATCCTTTGCCAACACGACAGCGAGCGAGAAGAGAAGGACCAAGAGAGTCTGAGAAGCTAAGAGAAGCGCACGAGCCATCTTTCTTGCGCAGCGGAGTCCTGCTTGACAAGCAATGCTAAGGATTTCCCAACACAAGTAGTTCCTTTTTCAAGAGCGGGGATCCGACCCGGAAAATTTGATAGTGTTGCAAGTTGCGCATCCCTTTTATCCTCTACGGGCTACCGTGGTGGAAAGTTGAACTATTTCGTGGTGCCTTTCCGTGAGGGAAATGTTGTTTGAAACTGCTGGTGGACTGACTGGGAGGGTTGAATTGAAAGTGGCGCCTACCTTTCCGACCAGTTCAATGTCGCATTTTGCATTCCAGACAGAAATGCGAAGTGCGAGTCGCTTGTAATGCGCTTCGTGAAATTAACACATCGAATTTACTCGCCATTAGGTCGCTCGATTTCACTTCAATGTATCCGTAAACCTCCAAATACGAGACGAGCCAGGTAAGAATCCCCAACCCCGAAATCTCATCTCGCTGAACCGCAGAAACGGAAAACGTGGTGCCCACGCAACCCTTGCAAACCTACACCCTTCAGCAGCCTAGAGCCCTTCCAGACCCTCCTAGACCCCTCCTTGACCCCAGTACGGTGCGTTGCGTGTGCTTGCACTCCACCATTTCTTTTGCCCAAACACGCCTGTCAGCTTCCCGTGACATTATGCCTCGAGAGTGTCGTGTCGCGACCAGTGACCGTCGTCGCAAGCCAGTGCGACCCGTGGGAGCTACGCAACGGGCCTTGCCATGGTGTATGCTATATATGCCTTTAGGCATCCGTGTGGTGTCTCATCGTGTTCAGTTAGGTTATTCAGAGCGCACCGTCAGTGATCGGTGTTCGACTTTCGCGTCGCCGGATTGAAACCGTTTGTCGGCAGGCACCCTTTTCCGAGCCACTCTGGTGCAAGGCGAAAAATCTCGACCGTCAGTTTAGTGCATTAAACCGTCGCGACTGCAAGAAAGCCTAGATTTTTATTTTGGATAGTTTTCGTGGAGCCATGGGAATGATGGGTTTGGATAACAGGAGTCACTCAGGATTCAAGCAGGGCCCGCGGGGGCGGGAGAGCCGCAGCCAAGCGGAGAAGAGCAAGAAGCAGGAGAAGGAGAGCAAGACGCAACCCGAGAAGGTTGACGGGATCGAAGACGGGGAGAATGAAACGAAGGGTGATGGGAAGAATGAAGCGAAGAGTGATGGGAAGGCGAGCACGAGAGGAGGGAAGGTGAACAGGATTCGGCAGGAGGCGCTAGAGCGGGAGAGGGTAGCGCGGGAGGAGAGGGAGGCGGCGAGGAAGCAGCAGGCGTGGAGCAAGAAGGAGATGAAGCTCGCACGTTACGACGCCGCCGTGAAGCGGAACGTTGCTCGGAGTAAAGGACAAGCGGCCAAGGTACGCGGCTGTGGGGGTGTGATGATGCGATACACAGAGCCGGGCTGTGGGGCTGTGTTGGGATACATGGGCAGAAGCGCCGCTAACTTTTGGACCGCGGAGGGAGGAGCACGGCACTGTACACGCCATGTAGCACAGCACTACAGAGGGTGCCATACCAGTCGCACCCCGCTCTCGTGTCATATTTGCCGCACCAATCTCACGAGTCTTTCTCCCGTGTTCCCCTTCTCCATTCCTTATTGAATGACGCCCCGGCCGTGCTGTGTGTCAGGAGAGGCGCAACAGCCTGCTGGACGAGTGAGCAGCAGCGTGATGACTTCTCTAAATCGTCTCGTCTCTAAAGCTATGCCTCGGCCCTGGGCGTGGCGTGTGTCAGGGGAGGCGGAATAGACCTCTAAATGAGTGAGCAGCAGTGCTACCGTCGTGACTTCTCTGTGTCAACTCAAAAGCTACGCCCTGGCCCTGGGCATGTGTTGGGGGAGGCGGAATAGCCATGTGAATGGGTGAGCAGAAGCCAACCGGCGGTCTGATAACAGCAAGCAATGCTGGCCGCAGAGTGTTTTTCGAAGGGTCGTCCGTTCCTCAGAGGAGAATGGCTTTGCTGCAGCGTGTGGTGCAAGGCAGATGGAGGCGGTGGAGCGGGGTGCAATGCACAGCAGTAGGAGGGCCCTGCGATTCCCCCCTCAATTTTGTAGCTGGATTTGTCAAAGTTGAGGGTGAGCTGATACCGGTATTTGCTGGTGCAGTGAGCACAAGAACTGGTTCCATCAGCAGTATGGCCCGCCTTGGGGGTTGTATGCTGTTGAGCATACAATACAGTTTCAAGGCTTCTGGGTAGTTTACCGTTTTCCATTGTTGCGGTGTGGCTGGTTCTTTCTCCAACACCATTGTTTGAAACATTGCACTCATACGGTATGGTACATTGCTTGAAACCCTACTGCAGCAGTAGGCGCAAAAAGCTAACCAAGCACAGACTAGAGCCTTGACCAGGCAAAAACTACAGCTCATAGGGCAAAAACTAGTACCATACCACAAGGGTAAAAGCTTGGCCTAAATCTGCTTCAAGCGCCGACTTTCAGGGGATCAGCACCCTCTTAGAGCTTGAGGTCCAAGTCGACCATTAGCGGCTCACAAGCCGCATGCTTGTCTTGAGCAGGAGCAGCCTGCTCAGACTCACCACTCGCACCAGATTCCTCCATCCTGCCCTCCTCCCCCCCTTCTCCATCCACCCCCCCAGCAGCATCCAAGCCCTGCAGGCATGCACTGTGCAGCCCCGTAACCACAGCCTCAAGTGATCTCAGGTCCTCCTCCTCCTGGGCAATGCTGGAATGCGTTGCTCTCCCCATGGAAGCTTCCATGAAGGCTTCAAGCTGAGCTAGTCCGTCCTTGGCTGTGGTAGCAGCAGCCACGCCCTTCCTTGCCTTCTTCTCCTGCTGCACCTGTAACTGCTTCTGCAACTGCTGCTGCAGGTGTAGCTGCTGCTGCTGCTGCCACGTGTCATTCACAGGTCGCCGCCACGACCGCTTGCCAGCACTGCTGACAGCCGGAGCCTCCGCAGCGCATGCAGGTGAGGCGAGCGAATCGCTGTCCTCCACCCAGAGGCTGTCGAAGAGCGGTTGACGGTGCGCACTCTGAAGGGCAGGCTGATGGGGTTGCTGGGGTTGCTGGGGATGCTGGGCTCCATGAAGCGTAGAGGCAGAGAGCTGCTGGGCCATGGCTGCCACTGCAGCACCAGACTCTCCCAACCCTCCAGCTTCTCCCAATGCACCCTTCACTCCTGCCTCTCCAGGTGCATACGCTGTGCCGGCTGTGCCAGCAGCACCGGACAGGTGAGCCGGTTTCAGGGTGTGGTGTGGGGGTGACGGATCCGCCTGTTGAAGCTGAAGCAGTTGTTGCATGAGCGCCTGCTGCTGCTGCGCTGGCTGACTCTTTAGCACAGCGTGTGCTTTTATTGAGTTCGGTTGTGACGGGGATGACGTTAGAGCCTGGGTCAGCGCGTGAAGGTTGGGAGCAGAGCAGGCGGACGGAAAGGCTCCAAACCTTGTCACGCCATTACCACCGTAAACCCCCTCCAAACCAGCTCCACCGCCCCACACTCCTCTAGCCACCGCTCTCGTGCTCCCGCTGATGCTCGCAATCTCGTCGCTCACAGTAGGCGACTGCGACTGGGTTGTTACAGAAGTTACCGGACTGGTGTTCGCGGATCCCCACATCGCCTTGAGTCGAAAACTCCCTAGGCGACGGCGGGATGTGAAATTGCCGGAATGTCGCCCAGGCGCGCCCCTCGCGTCGCTAGGCCGCTTCGTGGCGTTAATCGCGCCGCCAGCCGCGGCGCGCAGCGCATTGAAGTCGTCGAGGTTAACCACTGCGTGCTGCGCTGACAGTAGCTGCTGATGTGGACGTTGATGCTCGTCATACAGGGGTGACGTGGACGCTGAGCTGGCAAGTGACAACAACGAGCGCCGCCGCTTGATAGGCTGAGGCTGACAGGAGGCTACGCAGCTATCACAGGCGGACAGATGATCCAGGCAGCCCGGGGCCGATCCCGCATATGACGCCGCCAACGCCGCTGCATGGTTCACGCAGCCGCGTGACGCACCGCAGGACACGCCGCGGCACTCGCCGCAGGAGGCGGCGCAGCAGTAGGATGTTCTGGGCCATCGTGAGCAGGCGGCACCGCAGGAATGGAGAGGCGAGATCATGGATTCGGAGCAACGGCGCTTCGCCCATGATCTCATGGGACGTTGCGTGCGGCACGATCCCCATGCGACGCTGTGACAGTCGCACACGGCCCCGCGGCACAGCGTTATCGAATCGCCGTGCGATTTGAGCGCATTATGACTGCCGCGGAGATGCGATGGCGGCGAAGGAGGGAAGCAAAACGGCGGAGGGTTCCTTCGCGGTGAGGCCAGCGACCGCCATTTTCATCGCCACATGCTCCAAATCCATGCCGCTGAGACGAATGCAAGAGAACCACCTCCTAAGACTTAGGAGTCCCTCTTCGAAATCACTACTACCACCGGAAGTTCCAAAATGTGCCTTTTGAGAAATCTGAACGTTTCAGGCGATAGACTCAGAACTCTTGGAGATGACGAGTGATGCTAAATGGTGAGTTCTGGCGCCAGCTACTTTAATATAATTGGCTTTCTTCTTGAAGAAGGGAAACTAGGCTTCAGCGTACCACTGAGAGATCCTATGAACGATGAGCGCTGCAGATATACGGAGCTGGTTCGACGCGTGCCTGGCAGCATTTAGCGGGCGATGCGAACGGGCACGGGCGATGAACAGACATGGAGAGTGATTTGCATACATACAGTAGTACACGTAGACTACATGTTGGGCGCCGTGGAGCCCAAGCTCGAATGACCCGCGGATTTCGCGGGAGGGGGGACTGTGACAGTGGCATGTGGGAACGGGTTTCTGGAATGACGATGATTAATGCTCGACATTAAATGCGACTCATTGCTCCTGGGTATCACTCCTCCCAATCGAACACGGTGCGGCAGCGTTGGGAACACAAGCGAGGTGATACGCGCCAAAAAAGGTCGCACTGCGCGCCGAAAATAAGTTGAAGGACAAGGACGCTTGGAAACGAAATGAGGTCCAGTTGCACTGGCGCGCGTGGGCCTGCTCAAGCTGGGGTTCTGTATGCTGCCGCACTGTCCCAGCTCGCACAGTGACGACTTTGCAACTGCTTTTTCTCTGTTCCTAGCACGACGCCTTACAAGATGACGGGATTGATTGGCAAGGAGTGGGACCGAAGTACAGTAATGAGTATGCTGCATGCTCAGCGCGTTCATTAACGGTACACCTAGTTCTCGATAATTGCACACCCCTACACTTTCTTTTCGTAGGTACCCTTTACGGACTGTGACCTGATGCGAGGGACACCCAGTGATGAGGGACTATAAAGATACAACGGGCAGGTCCCTCTAGAAGAAACTCGCACTTAATGTTCGGGGGGAAGGATTTAGTTAGGTTTGGGTTCTCTTTTATGTTCACGGTGCACCCCGACCAAACCCGAAAGTACGTCGGACCCTCCTCCGCGGTTTTCCTAAACGCTGGTAACTACCCTACGAAAACGATTGACCTAAGGTAAATACCCCGCGATGTAAGATTAGGGGGTGTGAAATAATCGAGAACAGAATGTACTGGTCGGTCACGCACTTGGCGAGGAAGGGAAGGGAAGGCGGGGGAGGTTGGTGGTGCAGTGAAATTTGACATGCCACGACCATCGAACCGCGGAATGCATTCGAAGCAGAATCAGCCGAAGCGCAGGTGCAAATTGACGGTGACGGAACTGGTTGACGTGGAAAGGACCATGAGTTAGTGGCGTTGATCGCTCCGAAGGTCCGTCGTCGAAATCTTCGCTGATATGCTGGTTGTGGTCCCATAAAAGACCCCATGATAATTGGGACTTGTGGTCACATAATCGGGCAAAGGAGAATTCTGTTACGTTTCCCACTCTGGCTTGGAATTCATGAAAATTGGGTGATTGATGCAGCAGATGACCCTGAAACCAGAACCATCCTAACACCGGCATGCAACTTTGCTGCAACTGGTTTTGGTTTTCCGAAAACATTTTAGAACAAGCCGTGGTGGAATGGTGGTGTTTCACATCAATATTTTTAAGCTCCAGATGTCACCTTCCAAACACACAGTTATTGCGAGCGAATCAGAGTGAGCGATGCTGGTTGGCTGGAAGGATCTGGTTTTCTTTGTGAAGCCTCGTCCATCAATGGCAAACTTTCGGCCGAACTGTACCATGCCAAGTCATTTCAACAACGTGGCAGAGGGACTGCTGCCACCGTTGTGGCCTCCATGTCATCGCCGTGTTGTGACCTTTGGTTGCGGTAGGACGGCTCACACACGCGCACACGGTGACTCTTCCCAAATATCAGGGACCACGTGAAAGTCGCTGATTGGCGCCACCTGGCCCAAGCCCACCCACAAATCCATACGCGCTGGCGCAAAAACGACGACGATATCTTTCTTTTTTGCCTTCTCTATTTTCGTTAAAAGAATTCTGCATGGAAATGTATGGATCATAGTTAGATGTTCTAACGGGTTTGACAACAAAAATCATACCAAAGCAAACTCTCCTTCAGAGTTGGGGTTTCTAAGATTGATGATCTTCCTTACCTACTCTCTCCCCATCCCGTCTCTCCCCCTCCCTCCTTATGAACACCCCCCTCACTCGCCGCGCCACATTGAGTGCCGCCAGTGCCAGCAGCAGCGCCACTCCCAGCCCACCGCGCTCCTCCACGGCGCTGGCCAGGGGTGGGCGGAACGAGGGGGATGGCCCCATCCAATGCGCTGCGCTGATGGACGCATGGGCTGTAGCGCCTTGGGTGAATGCACCCCGCATCCCACCACCTGTTGCACCAGCTGTAGCACTAACTGTTTGGCCTACTTCAATTTTCTCTTCAGCAGCCTTATCCGCAGCACCAGCAGCAGCGGCTGAACCAATAAACCCTTCGTCACATGCCACCTGCGCCACTGTAGCCACTGGCACAGGCACCCCAGCAGCACCAGCAGCAGAAGCGGCGTCCCCTCCCTCGCCCCCTGAATGGCACTTTCTCTGAGGCAGCACCAGCAGGGGCGCCAGCCCCATCAGGCACCCTATGGTCACCCCCACAGTTGCGCCGCCTGTTTCCGCCCACCGCGCGCGGGAATCCGCGAGCTGCTTGGAGGAGAAGTTGACGTCCGGCAGGAATCGGCCTGTAGCGCCCTCGATGTACTCGCGGAAGATTGTCCCCACTATGTCCGACACTGCATTGCCCAGCCCCGCCGCCTGCAGAGGGGGAGGGGGGGGGGGGGGGCAGGGGATGTGTGAGGATGCAAAAGAATGTACTCGCGGAACACTGTCCCTACTATGTCAGACACCGCGTTGCCCAGCCCCGCTTCCTGCAAGGGGGAGAGGGGAGGGGGGAGGGGGGATCACGGGCAAGAAAACATGGGTGGAGAGGCGGAAGGGGGGTAACGTTTGAGTGGAGTCAACAGTCACGTTGATGCACTCGCGGAACACCGTTTCCACTATGTCCAACACCCGCATTGCCCAGCCCTGCCGCCTGCAGACGGGGGGAGCGGCACAGCAGGGGCAGGGAAAGTGGGGAAGAAGGGGCGATTTCTGAGCCCACCCAATAATCACTGGCGGAAGACGGGAGGGGCATGTTGATGAATGGAGAATGTACTAAGCCGATGAAGACATGAAGGTGGGCAGCATGAGAGGGCATGAGAGGGCATGAGAGGGCATGAGAGGGCATGAGAGGGCATGAGAGGGCATGAGAGGGCATGAGAGGGCATGAGAGGGCATGAGAGGGCATGAGAGGGCATGAGAGGGCATGAGAGGGCATGAGAGGGCATGAGAGGGCATGAGAGGGCATGAGAGGGCATGAGAGGGCATGAGAGGGCATGAGAGGGCATGAGAGGGCATGAGAGGGCATGAGAGGGCATGAGAGGGCATGAGAGGGCATGAGAGGGCATGAGAGGGCATGAGAGGGCATGAGAGGGCATGAGAGGGCATGAGAGGGCATGAGAGGGCATGAGAGGGCATGAGAGGGCATGAGAGGGCATGAGAGGGCATGAGAGGGCATGATAGCGGTGGTGCCACGTACGCACCATGAGAGTGGAGATGCCACGTACGCACCATGAGAGTGGAGATGCCACGTACGCACCATGAGAGTGGAGATGCCACGTACGCACCATGAGAGTGGAGATGCCACGTACGCACCATGAGAGTGCAGATGCCACGTACGCACCATGAGAGTGGAGATGCCACGTACGCACCATGAGAGTGGAGATGCCACGTACGCACCATGAGAGTGGAGATGCCACGTACGCACCATGAGAGTGGAGATGCCACGTACGCACCATGAGAGTGGAGATGCCACGTACGCACCATGAGAGTGGAGATGCCACGTACGCACCATGAGAGTGCAGATGCCACGTACGCACCATGAGAGTGGAGATGCCACGTACGCACCATGAGAGTGCAGATGCCACGTACGCACCATGAGAGTGGAGATGCCACGTACGCACCATGAGAGTGGAGATGCCACGTACGCACCATGAGAGTGGAGATGCCACGTACGCACCATGAGAGTGGAGATGCCACGTACGCACCATGAGAGTGCAGATGCCACGTACGCACCATGAGAGTGGAGATGCCACGTACGCACCATGAGAGTGGAGATGCCAAAGGCTGCGCCCAGAGTGCCCTCGATGATGTCACCAGCGATGAGCATGATGGTATTGTCTGCCATGCCATGCCATGCCATGCCATGCCATGCCATGCCATGCGAGGCAAATACATGGTGAGATACATTCAGACAATGAGTGTAGAAGGAGACAAGAGAAGACTCCAAGCAGCTAGCGTTTGTGAATGCTTGACCATTACTGTTATCTCGGCAGTCACCCATTTGAGGTGCACATTTCAAGGTGCACCATGATCGGCATTCTTTGCTGCCCAATATGACATAATGCAAGTCACCATGCGACCCCTATATTGACCCATAATTTCACTCCTCACACTAGCTGTTTACTTTACTGCCCCATTTCTGCCAAGCCCCTTCCCTTCATGTTTTCCCTCATCCCCCCCGCCTCAACTACTTCCCTTCCCTTTTTTCCCTCCCCCTCCTTCCCTTCCCCATCCTCCTTCCCTCCTACCTCCTCCCCGTCCCACCCCTCTCCTCTCTCCCCCTCCTCATCCCCTTCCCCGCCCCACTCGATTCACCTGTCACGCCGAACCCGATGTTGCCTGCAGCATGGGAAGGTAGGGGAAAGGGGAGGGAGGAGGAAGAGGGAGGAGAGAGGAGGGAGTGGGGAGAGGAAAAGGGAGGAGAGAGGAGGGAGTGGGGAGAGGAAAAGGGAGAAGAGAGGAGGGAGTGGGGAGAGGAAAAGGGAGAAGAGAGGAGGGAGTGGGGAGAGGAAAAGGGAGGAGATGGACAGTTAAGGTGAGTGGGGTATGGAAGAGAGGTACGGACGGACTCGAGTCACACGGTCTGGAACGTTATTCATTCAAACCCCCTCGGACGCAAACACCAATCAGGTTCTTTGCTGTAAGCTGAAAAATATAGATTTTGAACCAACTTCGCCCTACATCCATCCTCGACCTGCTGCAACCATTACCTTACAGCGGAGCGCGGGGCGCATCGCACCTATAGCGGAGCGCGTGGCGAGCAGGCCGAGCTGGTGCAGGTTGAGCGGGCGGTCGGCCGCCGCCATCTTGGCGTGCTGCGCCTCGACGTACGTCGCGAACTCGCGCGCGTCCAACACGCCGTCGTGGTTCACGTCCGCATCCTGAAACTCCTGCGCCGCGTCGTGCTTCTCCGTCGCTGCCGGGAGGAGGTGGGGGATCCCGGGAATAAATGGGAACGACTTAAGAGGGACGGAGGCTGGGAAGCATAACGAGACAAACGCGGAGATGTCGACAGACAACACGCGAAGAAATGCAGCGACGGTGAGAAGAACACGCACATCCCGGAAATAGCGCCGTGAGAAGCGCCGCGCGTCCAGCGTGATCGAGCTGGCGGACGAGCTCCCCCGCCGCGGCCTCTCCGAGCCGCAGGCCCGAGCCGCTGCCTCCGGAGCCGCCGATCCCCGAGGGTGACGTGGCAACGGAGAGTAGACGCGCCACCTCAGCAAGCTGCTCCTCGTGCTCGGGCTCCAGCAGCTCCACGGATGTCGCGCCGCCTTCGCCGCCGCTCGGCGCGCTGGTGCTGGCTTCGTTCGACGCGCGGAGGATGGGCGAGCGACGAAGGCGGCGTTGGAAGCGGCCAGCAGGTCTTTCAAATCTGGGCGCCGAGGTGGAAAAACGTCGACTCGGGACTATTTTAAGTGCGTGTACGGCCAGGCTTTGGCTTAGTGCGGTAGCCATGGTGGGTGAGGATGATACTCGGAACTGTTGATGAAATGGGCGACTAGAAAGTGAGCGAAGCGTTTGTTCACAAAATTGTTTGATTCAGAGCAATCCAAACAAACCTCCTAGCTCCGTATTATTCGGCGTGTTAGACCGAGCAAAAGCCGAGGTGGGTGCGATGACCGTAAGTGGGCTAGCTGCACCTATCTTTAGTCAGTGCCAGCTGCCAAGTGAATGGGTGGAGCTGCGCGCGCTTGGTGGAGTTGCGGGGCTCAGCGGGGCTTGGTGCGCTGGGCCTTGGTGAGGCTTGGCGGAGGTATATAGGCGCGTAGAGAGGTTTGGTGCCCAACAAGAGCTGTTGTGTGCTGTTGAGGCAAGTTCTGATTGGGGGTGGAGCCTGTCCTTACGAGGTGATGATTGGTGAAGACAAGGCTTGGGTTACACCTAGCCCGCGCTATTTTCACGCCCCCCCCGCACTGGTCAAGCTTGTCTGTAGTGGGGGGGGGGGGGTGAAAATGGCCGTAACATTTTTGTAGGGGGGTTTGTGGGGGGCGCCCCTGTGCATCACCCAACCTCCCTGACCCACATAGCGACAAGGGGGGGGTGAAAATGGCCCTAGTGAATTTGGCGCGGGCTAGGTGTATCACTGCGGAACAAAGGCTTGGTTTGGAGTCTTCCAAACGAAGTGATGAATGTTCAGACTGGAGATCTTGGTCAGCCAGCGTGGATCAGGACGAAAACCAGCGTGGATTGGTCGTGTCAAGTTTGTCGTTTACACGCGTAAGGACCCTGAAAACACGTCAGGACTCCTTGTTGGCGCAAAAATATCTGGCTGCAGCCCAAAAAGGCTGAGCAGATCCTCCAATCGCAGCTGATTAAAAAGTCAAACCCTTCCCAGCGAATCAGCAACGTCGCAGGTGCGTACTTTCCCAATTTCCGCGGTACACCCCCGTTACCAGCTCGCACCTTTCGCATCTCTGCACGTGTGGCTCGAATTTAATAGCCCAACCGGAGGAGAGAACCAAACGCGCGCCTCGATTTCAAATCTTCGTTCACACCGCAGAGCCCGAAACCAGATTTGCGCTACACGATTCCGCAGCCCCGTCCGCGCGCAGAGCGTGGACTCTCCCCCAACGAGGAACGAACTCGCACGCAACTTTCACGCTTCTGCTAGACGATCAGGGATATGATGACAGTAGGACGCGGAGTATCATACTCATCTTTTTGAATATTGAGTGTGAAGGATTCCACGTTGGACGCGACTTGCTTTTGCCAGAAGGAACAATTCGCTGGCGATTGCTGCACCATTGGCAATCACTCCTTGGCGCCTTCTTTAGAGAGTACAGTCAGCATGGCCGCCACGACCGCGACGTTGGGGCCTTTCGCCGCAGCAGTAAGCGGCGTAGCACATCGACCAGCGCCGGCACGGACGACATCTTCTCAACAGTCATGGCTGGCGCCCCCAGATCGAACCTCCCCCTCTGTCCCGATTTTGCGGCGAACCTTTTGTCGTTCCCACCTCTCGCGAGGCGGCCCGCAAACTCTACAGCCGCACCGCGCCGGACTGAAAGTGTCAGCGGCATACGCGGGGACATCGGCGGAGACTCCGGGAGCGCCGTTGTTGGAGCAGCCGGACCAGCGCGCGCTCGTGGCGGACGTCGCGCGGCTCTTATCGAAGCCGCGAAGCTACGACTTTCGCGAACACCATCACCACGAGCAGCACAGCAACGAAGCGCACCATAACGAGGACGCGGAGCACGCAGCTGCGGCTAGCGTGAAGGAGGGGACGACGATAGGCGAGGTGGCGGCGATCGAGCTCGTGCGACAGCTCAGCCCGCAGGGGCGCGAAGTGCTGCTCACGGCGCTCTTCCCGGGCGGTACGCGAATGCCTTTTGAGTCGATTCTACTAGAGCTTCCCATGTAAAATGCGCGAATGTCGGATACTCGCGCTGAAAACGACTCGTTGGAGCACGCGCTTGCGGCTGGCACTAGTAGTCGTTGCCAGCGGAACTAGGATCTGCCACGTGCTCCTTTGACTCGAACGCCTACTCGGTTGTGTATGTGCTCATGTCTGTGTGCGCTCAGCGGACAGCGCGGAGGCGGAGGAGGAGTTTGAGCACGCGGACGCGCATCACGACGGGGTGATCAGCGAGGGCGAGTTCGAGCAGTACGTGGGCGAGCAGCAGGCCAAGATCGACGCGCTGCACCGCCCGCTCGAATTCCCGCAGCTCCTGCTGCTCGCTAAGAAGGAGGCGCTCGGTACGTGTGTGATGTTACGCGTGGGGGCAGACATGCGAGTTTGATGAAAGTTGTTATGCGGAGCAAATGAGTTCTCCTGCCGTTGCTCCTTATATTGTCCCATTCCCTCCCCTCCGCTTCCCCGTCGTTTCCCTCTCGCTTCTCCCTCCATTAATCTCTCCCCCTCCCCCCTTTCCCCCTCACCCTCCCCCCACTCCCCCCTTCCCCCGGCATGTTGTGACTCCGCGCGCCGCTACTTGCAGGCAACTTGGGCTTCGGACTCACAAGTAAGCGGTCGGGGGGGACTGGTGGAATAGAGATACAGGGGGAGGAGAAAGTGGGAGGTGGTAGGAGACTCGGCAAGCGGGCTAGATCATGGATGGATTGGGTTTAGTATGAACATATTAGGTGGCTAGGACTGCTGGTTGTTCGGATGCTTGCGGGGCGAAGGTAATCCCCGCATGATAATAAACTGGTTGTGAGACGTCTCATAACCGATTTATTTTGACGTGGTTTATCCCCGCAACTGGACAGTCGAGAGCTGCCGTCACATTCAGAATGATGGTATTTCAGGCAGGCCCCAGCTTCTCCTGCAGCGTTTCTCTCACTTACTCTGGCAGGCTCACCCACTCCCCTCTCACCCACTCCCCTCTCACCCACTCCCCTCTCACCCACTCCCCTCTCACCCCTTCTTCCCCACTTCCCCCCTCCTCCACTCCCCCTTCCCAAATCCCCGATCACGTTCTCTATTCATGGGCTCTTTATTATTTTGCAGAGAACACGGTGATGATCATATCAGGCGACTTTATAGCGAGTACGCTTGGAGCCGCCTTCGGGTTTTCCACACTCATGGTAAGCCTTGGAAAGGGGATGCAGGCAGAGCAGTCAGCCCCTGCTTTCATTGAGTCAGCTGGTTGGCCCACGGAAAGTCCAGGCAGGTCGCATTGAAATGGCCACAATCCCTCGGACAAGCCTCATAAGCCTCATGCACTCACCCCATTCACCCTACCTCCCCCCATCAGGCGGCGGGGCTGGGCAATGCAGTGGCGGACGTGATAGGCACGTGGTCGCGGGGAGCCATAGAGTCGTCGTCCTCCAAGCTGTTGCCCGGCTCCACCTTCTCCTCTCACCAGCTCGAACACCCCAAGGCGCAGCTCTTCGCCACCGTTGGCGCCGTCATAGGAGTCACAGTGGGCGGCTTGATGGGGCTCTCTCCGCTGTTTTTCCTGCCGGCCCGTGGGGGTGGGGGCGGGGAGGGTGGGCATGGTGCTGGTCCGGCGGTGACTGCCGGCGTGGCGGCTGCTTCGGCGGCAGCTTCGGCGATGAAGGTTGCTGCGCCGCTTGCTACTATTGCGTCGGCGGATGGGGTTGAGGAGGCTGCGTCGGGTCATGCTACTGCTGCCGTTGATGCCACAAGTGGTGGCATGCGAGGTGCGTTTACCCGGGGTGCTACAGCCCATGCATCCATCAGCGCAGCGCATTGGATGGGGCCTTCCCCTTCGTTCCGCCCACCCCTGGCAGGCGCCGTGGAGGAGCGCGGTGGGTTTGGAGTGGCGCTGCTGTTGGCTCTGTCGGCACTCAATGTGGCGCGGCGAGTGAGGGGGGTGTTAATGAGGAGGGAGGAGAGAAAAGGCGAGGAGGAAAGGAATTTGCAGTAGGGATCTTGAATGTGAAGGACCATACATATTAAGTTATTTTTTTCCAGGCATTACTAATGAATGATTCCTGTAGGCATTGTGAGCTGTTTTTATTTAGCTGCTATTTGTTTTTGTGGTTTCAAGCTATATGGTCTGGTTGATATCGGTTACTGATACTCCTTAATAGTTTCCAGATGACATCTGTAGCGCATACTGGTTCCTCTGCTAAGGAGGTTATATCCTCTCTTCAGCAACTCTGACGGTTTGGCGGCGCCACGTATGCTTTGCATGAATATCCCATCGCCCTTTTTTCACGGGGGTGCTTTCTCGGCCGAGCCAATGAAAATAATGTATTTGGTGACCAGCGACAGCTTGCCGCAGCAAGAGTTTCGTCCGTCGATTACAGCTGTTTTCTGTTTTAAAACGTCAGATCCTTACTGTGCATCCCACGCGTGAATACCCTGCAATGTTACAGAACTGTATCCTTTCCGATACATCGAGCCGCGGGCTAATCAGGACGTGCTCATTGTCTACAAAACGCCCTTTCGGTTTTCCAGAGGCTACGCTGCAGTGCTCCACCCGCTTCAATTCCGCCTGTCCCCTCGACACGATCCCTGCTCCGATTGTTCGTTCCCCCTTTCGCTCTGGTGGGCTTGAACCGAACCAAACTAAAGCCGCGCGCGCTTGAGATCTTCTCCTCTTATCGAGACCAAGCGGCATTCCCGCTCCCCCAACCACCCCCTCAAGATCTCCGCTCGTCATGCCCCCTGTCCCCCGCTTTTCAGCCCCTTGCATTTGCGTGAACTGCAGTCTATATTGCGGGGAGCTACATACACGCTTGTGATGTCGGTTGATCGCTTCTTCTTGATCAGGGCCGCCATTTTCCACCAGCCTTACGCACGTGGCGGACTTGGGCCATTCCGCATTATTTATCAACCGCCATTGTTCGTCAGCCGACCCTCCGAACACTTTTAATCCGAGCTCCTGAGTGACACATTTATCCGTTTCACTTTGACGTTGGCTGCTCGCCGCTTGTCACTGATCTGCGCTCCCAACTTCGTCCTGTGCTCCCGCCTCTCTCTTGCCTGAAGAATTGCCAAAAAGAAAGAAAGAAAAAAAAAATAAAATCCGCCCGCTAGACAGGCCCCAATATAGCGCCAAGAAGCGACGGGCGAAAGGCTGCAAGGAGGCATTAGCGTGACTATAGTAAATTTATTTTATTTAGAGCCCCGCACGTGGCGCGCCATGGCGTCGCTGCAGGTGCTGGCGTACACGTTCGGCGTGCTGGCCGTGGTGCTGTTCGGCGCGGGCGCGTGCGCGTTCGCGGTGTACCGCGAGGTGAAGCAGGGCGGCCCCGACACGCCCGACTTCTTTCTCACGGCGCGCAAGTCGGTTCCCATGCTCACCATCGCGTGGTAAGTCAACGGTGCTCGTGACCATCGCGTGGTAAGTCCGTGCGCATGCTCACCATCGCGTGGTAACCACGTTACGTGGTAAGACGATGGTGCTCGTGACCATCGCGTGGTAACCCCATTCCCATGCGCACCGTCGCTTGGCAAGACAATGACGGTCGTGGCCACTGCGCGGCATTTGCGGAAAGCTGCAGCGGCTTGTCGCAGCGACGTCTTTTGAGGCGCCTCAACACTTTTGACTTTTGAGGCGCCATTGCACGGATTGCGGAAAGTTGCAGCGGGTCGTCGCATCGGCGCACTGTGCGAGCGGCAGGTGAGCGCTTTGCCGGCCACGTGTCGCAGCGGCGCGCTCCTCAAACCGACACGGCTCCCACGATCTGTGCCGGTGGCGCTGCTGGTTGCACTGCGCGTTGCGCGGGCCTTCCGGACATCGCGGGAAGGTGCAATTCGCGATGCCCCCTGTCACCCTCCCGTAATCACCGAACCCGGGAAGTGCGAAAGCCCCGTCGCTCATACTTTTCCCGCCCATTTCCGTGCCCCGCTGGTGCGATGGGCGCTACTCAATTGGCCCTAAGAGACCACTCCTTCCCCCTTCCCCTTCCGCCTCGCCCCCTCCCCCTCCCCCTCCCCCTCCCCCCCCGCCCCACTTCCCCATCCGCGCAGGTCGTTCTACGCGGGCGCGATGGGGTCGTGGGCGCTGTTCGGCCCGCCGTCCTACTGCTCGTACGCGGGCACGCTGGGGATGATCATGTACTCGATATCAGCAGGCCTGCCTATCATCATAGTCGCGTGGTTCGGCGCCGTCATCCACCGCCTCGTGCCGTCCGTCGTCTCCATGGCGGACTACGTGCGCCGCCGCTTCGGCCTGTAAGTTTTCCGGGGCAGGGGTGCGAGGGGTTGTGGCGTGGTGGGGTTCGGAATGCGGGGTTTAGGGGTTCCGTCATCCACTGTCTCGTGCCCGCCGTCGTCTCCATGGCGGACTACGTGCGCCGCCGCTTCGGCCTGTGAGTCGTTGGGCGGAGGGGGCTTCGGTGAGTGGGAGTGCGTTTTGAGAATTCTCAAAAGTCACTCCAATATTGTGCGTGGGTCGGGGTTTGCTTTTGAGTCGACTCAAAAGGAGTGGGAGTGCGGGGGTCGGGGTTCTGGGATGGTGGGGTGTCAGTGGAAGGATAACTCTCGGGTCGCTGGTCATGAAGAAGAGCTGCAGCGTGAAGGATCGCTTTTGCGGGTAATGAGACGACTTTTGAGGCGCCTCAAAAGTCGTTCTGGGATGGTGGGGTGTCAGTGGAAGGATGACTCACGAGTGACAAGCAGCCAGCCTCGTGCCCTTCGTCGTGTCCGGGGCGGACTATGTGCGCCGCCGCTTCGGCCTGTGAGTCGCGGGGGGAGGGAGGGCGCGGTGCGGGGGAGTGCGACGGGGGAAGAGTTGGGTGTGCGGGGTTCAGGGTTCAAATATAATGGGGTTGCGGGGTTTAGGCTGTGAAGCAGAGGTACATTCACGAGCGACTGAGAGCCTCGTGCCATCTGTCGTCTCCATGGCGGACTGCGTGCGCCGCCGCTTCGGCCTGTGGTTCGTTGGGGTTTGGGTGTGGGGGTGCGGAGTTTGGGCGTTGAGCAGAGGTTCACGCGGAGGATAATCCACGACCGACTGAGCGCCTCGTGCCGTCCGCCGTGTCCATGGCGGACTTGTGTGCCGCCGCTTCGGCCTGTGAGTTGGTGGGGTTGGGGAGCGTTGTGAGCGTTGTGAGCGTTGTGAGCGTTGTGGGGTTCAGGTGTGCGGGCTGTCTTTTGAGTCGACTCAGAAGTCACCTTGTTGGGTAGTGGGTTTCAGGTGTGCGCGTTGCAGGGGCCTCACACCTCCCCTCACACCTTCCCCCCACACCTTCCCTCACACCTTCCCTCACACCTTCCCTCACACCTTCCCTCACACCTCTCCCCACACCTCTCCCCCCTCCCTTTTCCCCCTCTCTCTCTCTCCCCATCACCTTCTTACCCCCTTCCCCGTTCTCCCCTCACGCTCCCCCTCTCACCCCCAGCGTCATCTCGCTCTACGTGTCCGCGCTCATGCTGTTCAACATGGTCGTGGCCATCACAGCCGAGTACACGGCCGTGGGAGGAGCTTTTTCACACCTCGTCCCATTGCTCCTCTTCCCCTTTCCCTCCCTTTTCTGCCCGTTGCTTCCCTTTCCCTTTCCCTCTTCCCTTTCCCTTTCCCTCTTCCCTTTCCCTTTCCCTCTTCCCTTTCCCTCTCCCTCTTCCCTTTCCCTTTCCCTCTTCCCTTTCCCTTTCCCTCTTCCCTTTCCCTTTCCCTCTTCCCTTTCCCTTATGCCCTTCAACCCCAGCGTCATCTCGCTCTACGTGTCCGCCCTGATGCTGTTCAACATGGGCGTGGCCATCACAGCAGAGTACACGGCGGTGGGCAGTCTCTTCACGGACATCATCGGCGCCAAGAGCCTGCCCATCATCCTCGTTATAGGCCTCGTCTCGCTCACCTACACCGCCATCGGTGGGCTCTATGTGTCCATCATCACGGATCAGTGGCAGGTAGATGGGTGGGTGTCAGTAGGGGGGGAGAGGGGGGGGATGGGGGGATGGTGGGTTGTGGGTGGGTGGGGGGGCTGCTGTGTGTGGGGTAACCACCTCTCCCTCACCACCTCTCCCTCACCACCTCTCCCTCACCACCTCTCCCTCACCACCTCTCCCTCACCACCTCTCCCTCACCACCTCTCCCTCACCACCTCTCCCTCACCACCTCTCCCTCACCACCTCTCCCTCACCACCTCTCCCTCACCACCTCTCCCTCACCACCTCTCCCTCACCACCTCTCCCTCACCACCTCTCCCTCACCACCTCTCCCTCACCTCCTCTCCCTCACCTCCTTTTCCGCTTCTCCTTTTCCTCTGCTCCACCACCCACCTACCTGCCACTGACCTCAACTCAACCCTTCCTCCTCCCTCTCCTCCTCCCCGCCTCCCTCTCCCCCACCACCAGGCGGGCATATCAGTGGGGCTCGTGCTCGTCATATTCGTCTGCGCCATTGCTGACCCCACACTATTCCCCTCTCCATTCCCCTGTCCCGATTCTCACCTCTCCCCTCTAACCAGGCGGGCATATCAGTGGTATTCGTGCTCGTGCTCTTCATATTCGTCTGCGCCACATTCGACGCGCCTCTGGGCCCGCTCCCCTCTGCGCCCGTGGATCTCACGTGGGGCAACAAGTTCGGGCTCGCGTCCATTGCAGTCATGCCCATCTCGCTCATCTCCTCCACGCTCTTCAGTGAAGCCATGTGGCAGCGGTAAGGGCGAGGCATGTCTATCTCTCTGGCTACAGGAATCTCACCGCCCAACAGCCTGCCAACAGTCTTGCCTCGCCTCCATTGCAGTCATGCCCGTCTCGCTCATCTCCTCCACGCTCTTCAGCGAAGCCATGTGGCAGCGGTGAGTGTCTCTGCCAACGGTGACCTGCTCTCTAGTTGTGCTCGCCTGCTCTCCCCTTCCTCCCGCCAGCTACCAAGCTGCGCCTCCGTCCTTGAGCCCGCCCTGCTTGCCATCCCTCGTATGTGAACCCCCCACCAGCCACACCAGGTGCTGGGCGTCAGCGAGTCGCAAGGCGCTGCTGGGGGGGAGCAGCACTTTCCCCTCGGGTCAGCCACTAAGCTGTGCTGTCTCTCTTCTCTGTCCCCCCCTCTTCCCCATCGCACCAGGTGCTGGGCGTCATCGAGCAGGAAGGCGCTGCTGGGGGGAGCAGCGCTGGCGTCGGTGGCAGTCACCATCGTCGTCTTCCTCTTCGGCTTCGGCGGTATTCTTCCTCCTGCCTGCTCTCTCTTGCTCTCTTCTTGTTCTCGCCTGCTCTTCCCTGCTCCCTTGTGCACCCCCCTTTGCGTCGGTGGCAGTCACCATCGTCGTCTTCCTCTTCGGCTTCGGTGGTATGCTCCCTCCTCCCCTCTCTGTGCTCTCCCTTTTGCCCGCCTGCTCTCCCCCGGCTCACTGCTGCTGCGTCACTCTCCTCTCCCCATTCACATTCTCGTCGAGGTGACTTTTGAGTCGACTCAAAAGTCACCTCTGCTGCTGCTTCACTCTCCTCTCCCCATTCATATTCGCGTCGCAATCCACAAGAACCACACTGTAAATGTGAATCAGCTACACTATTTCTGTCCCCTGCCTGGCTCTCTCTTTCTCTCTCCCCGTCCCTCTATCCCCCTTCCACCACCCGCACTTTCGCAGGCCTCCTTGCCGTGTGGGGCGGGGTGTGGCAGCCGAACGACGATTTCACCAACACCAACACCATCCTCTTCTCGCTTTTCAACAACACCACGTGGATCTTAGTCATCACCACCGTGCTCGCCGTCGTCATGTCTGAGTCCGCAGTCGACTCGCTCCAGAACGCCATCGCCGACACGCTCACCACCGCCTTCCTCGCAATCATCGACTTCTCCCTCTCGCTCGCTTTCGGTCCCGTCGAGGCAGCAGTGACAAAAACCGCATTCATGGCTGTCTTTGAATCCAAGGGCATCTGGGCGGTTCGGGCGATCGTGCTTCTGTTCAACATCCCTCCGCTCGTCGTGGCCCTCAAGGGTTACAACGTGCTCCAGCTCTTCCTCCTCGCCAACCTCCTCACCACCACATCGGTAATCCCAATTATGGCTGGTGTGATCCCCGGAAAGTGGTCCCGCAGGGTCGTCACGCCGTTCTCCGTGGCGTTTGGCTGCCTGTCGGGCATCGCGTCGCTCTTCATCTGGACGCAAATCTACTCGGTGAAATACAACATGTCGTACTGCGATTCGCTCTACCAGGTGTTCCTATACGCGTACGATTACCCTCCGTTCCTCATGGCTCTTGTGTTCTCTATAACGGGGTTGTGGGTGGGTGCGGGGTTAGAGGCTGTGGTGAGGATGGCGCTCAAGCTGGAGTACCCCGAGTTTGACCTGGGTTCGGAGGAGTTGCCTGAGTTGCAGGGCGGTGAGATGGTGGATGCAGGGATGGAGAAGCTGGGCATGGGTGATGGTGGTGGTGTGCCTATGGCTTCCAACTCTTGATTGATTAGGTGACAATTATGGGTTGTGATTGTGGTGCACTGTTTAACGTAGAGGGTTTGGGAGTTTAGATGGTTAATAATTGGAGTACAAACAGTAGGTGACAGTTTCATTTATGGGCAATGTCCTGTCCACTCATTACGATGGAAGAAACCCAGTATTGTGCAGAGCAGTGGCAAGGCAAGGCATTGTGGAGGCATGTGGCAGACAGGCGCATATGGTATACCAGTAATTGCAGGTACAGCACATGATAGGATTGACCTGTTGGCAAGAAAGGCTATGGGATGCATCTAGATGGGATGCATCTGGATGGGATGCATTGTCTAGACACAGGATAGAATGGCGGCACTCCAGCAGCAAGCAACAAGATGCATCCCATCTACTAACACCCCAATTCAAACCCCAGCCAATCACAAGCTCAAACTACCACAACAGCCATAACATAGGTAAGTCCACCCCTCTTCATCATATTCCATCCCTGAACGCCGCCCAAGACCCATTCGTCTTCACAGCCAACTGCCATATGAAGAAACAGTATGAGCACAACGCTTGAGCCAAGCACGCGGTCAGGCCACCCTAATTTTCCGGGCTTGCTTGCAGCACCACCTCCCATCACCCTCCCATCACCCTCTGTGAGACCGACTCAACAATGACTTGGAGACTGCACGTGCCATGCCTGGAGCAGCGCGGTGGCAGTGCGTCCTGCCGTGCCTTATTCCCACCCTCTAAGCTTCCCCATATAAGCCTCGACCGGATCAAGCAGCACTCCAGACTAGAATCTGGAGAAAATACGGTACTGTGTTTCCACCCTCCCGCTCATGCTGCTCGCACCGCCATTCCTTATCCCCCATGCCTCTTCCACAGGGGCCTCAAACACCATGCAGCTCAGCATTGCTCAGCGCTGTCACGCCTCTGCCCTTTCCCCCAACCCAACAGTCCCATGCCACCAACATATGCGCGTCCCCTGGAAGGGCGGGGTGAAGATTCTGACCTCCACCGCCCCCTCTCTTACCCAGCTCCAGCCCCTCGTTCCCCTTGTCCCCCTCCCGCCTTCCCCTTCTCACCCTCCCCTCCGTGCATCCGCACACGTCATCACTGCACCGCGCACCCGCACACGTCATCCTCGTCGGACGCGTCGTATCTGCGTCGCCTGGGCGGCAGGCGAATATCCTCCCACTCCACGTCGCTGCGCGCAGTGCAGAGGGAGAGGAGGAGGCAGGGTGAAACAAGAGTCTATTTTAGACGTCTCAAAAGCGTCGTATCTGTGTCGCGTGGGCGGCAGGCGAATATCCTCCCACTCCACGTCGCTGCGCGCAATGCAGGGCGGAGCGGAGTTGGGAAGACCGGGGTAAGGGTGGGGAGAGAAGGGGCAGAGGTTGTTGGGGGGAAGGGACGAAGGGAATGTGGGCATAACGACGTCGCTGCGCAATGCAGGGCGGAGCGCTGTCAGGGGAGGAGTGAGATGCGGTGGCGGGGGAGGGAGGGGTGACAGGGTGTAAAAGGAGTGCGAAGATGCTTTGTTTCTTGCTGTTCTCTCACGAGTAAGGGGAGGGGAGGGAATAGTGGGACCGGTGGGGAGCCAGGGGGATGGAGAGTTGGGGGACGTGATTGCGCGGGAAATGGCTCAGTGTCGCACATGGTCGCACGTGGTCGCATAACTCTTGGATTCTTACAGCATTGGGCGACGCACCTTCGCTCAAATTCGCGAACATCGACGAGCGACCCGCCGTCCTCCTCGTCGCACCACCGAACCCGCTGCCCCTTGCTGTTGGGCGACTTGCCGGGCGACTCTCTCGCACGTGCCGGCGACACTGGCGGGAACCTATGCGGACCGAAAGGCCACGTGGCGTTGAAGGGAACGTCGTCATCTAGAGTCAACGCGGATTTGAATGAGTCAACTTTGTCTGGTTGAGCCAGCGCGCCGCTCGGCGATGATTGGCCAGCGGCTCTTGGGCTGTCTTCGATGGAAGAAGTGGAAGTTTCGAACGAATCTTCGCTCCCGAACGACGAAAATCCACTGCACGAGTCGTCACTGCTTGACGATTCGTCGTCGCTTGACAAGTCTTCGCTGTCGCACGAGCTTTTGCTGTCACACTCCCGTACATCCCCGTTGGCCGTTGACTCAATAGAATCGCATGTCGTCTGTAAACACGTGACCATCTCATCACCGGCTGCAAGTTTTTTGGTACTCTTCTCTTGACATGACTCACTGACGGCAGGAATGTCATTTCCTCGGCGAGACTCATCGAATAGCTGCGTCTCAGGCGGTACCAGAGCTTCACATTCGCCCTCCTCCGCATCGCAGGATCCTTGCCGAATCGACAGCGGCGAGGCCTCGGCGAGCTCTTGCAAGAAATCCCGAAGCTGAAGGGAAGGCTTGGCACGAGGCTGAGTGGATAACCAGAGGCTGTAGCTCAGGATAGGAACGGCAAGAGGCTGAGGGAGAGATAAGGGGGACGTGCAGTGCAGGTCGACTCCGGAGGAATCGAGTTCAACAAGGGCCATGGCTGGAGTCTATTGCATGTTGGCCGTTGTACGAGGCGCAATATATATGATTGCTGCCAGTTTATGGCGTTCTATGGCTTATCGCATGTGGCGTTCTCTAGCTCTCGTGGCCGTTTCCATAGGAAGAGCAGCGCATGGAGTTCGAGTGAGAGCTTGGCGTGAAAAGGGAGTCGAGCTGACTTGAGAGGCAGAGCAGGCGCCAACTGCGGCGCTTTTCGCTTTTCTACCAACAATGGTGGCGAGGTGACGACCTCGACTCGACCTGGTCGCCATCGACCTCAAATAATGCCCAACCATCGAGCACGCACCGCGCTGGTTGCAACTACCCCCGCTCTAGCGCGCTAAAAGGGGCAAGCTTGGAAAAAAAAAGCATTGCATTCTTGAGTGGCCTTTGTGATGATAATGGTAGAGCCGAACAATAGAGAAAATCGTGGGCGTCGGATAGGCTCGGGAAGGGCAGTTGACGGTGCGCGGTCGAAACCGAACCTTCACCAAAACCCTCCCATACCACGGCTCGAGGTACGGAAAGTTTGCCCTGCTTGTGTGGAATTTGGAACGCGTTACACGTCCAGACAAAAGTCCGATACCGCCCTCAAAGTGGAACCCGATTGGCCGAAATGAGTTTGCTAATCGCAAATTTGAGAAGTCCCGCGAAATTATTTCGGGGATAGTTGGTGCAGATTTGCAAGTCTGGTGCGGCTGGAGGGAACTCATGCCCAGCGACTTGGTGGAGACTACAAGCTGCAACTATTAATTTCACTGTTCGGGCAACATGAAATTTGTAAGTCCACCCTCGAACATCCAACATTTCGGTCAAGGTTGTGGGCGCGTGGCAAACGCGATACGCGTGGAGGTTACCGCATCGCCTCTGTAAATTGACTGCTTGTACGCGCTAGAGCACATATCGACACCGAAACGTCAGATAGGATTCTGGCACAGGGAGTGGTAGTACAGTACATGTGATGTGACATTCCACCAGGCAATTTTACAAAGCACTTCGGGCAAACTGAGATTGCATCATCGATCATAAAGATGCAAAGACCGGCCAATGGGGTCATGAGGGTACACGTCCTTCAAGCTCTCCTCCGCATCCAGCCAAACCCATTGATCCTCAGGCACCCCACTTACACAAAAATCACTACACCTATCCAGATTATCATCTCCCGTTTCTTCCATCACACTCCCATCAATACCCAATACCTCCAACAACGCACTAGCCCCTCTCTCCCCAGCAGCCTTTGCCAACTCACTCCATGAAGCTCCCGCTTCATCTACACTCCGCTCCACTTTACAAGCCCCAGAAACGGTCGAATTCGCCCACTGGGAACTAACCCTGGCGTGGCCGCCGCGGCACGGCGTGGGGGCGACCACAGCCGCGGGGCTCTCGAGGGCGCGGGAGGAGTACTTGGCGAGGAGTACCGCCCAGAAGTGCACGCGCGAGTGCCATGTGCAGACGAGCGCTGCGAGCTCGTTGGCGTTGCGCACCATGGTGCGGACGGCAGCGTCGTTGCGCTGCATCCACTCTATCACACTGAACAGGTCCCGGAAACTGGAATGGGAAGGGAAGAGGAGAGTTGAACTGGGGTGTGTGTAGATGTAGGGGGAGGACGGAACGGCGCATGTTTGCCATGTAAGGCGGGCGTACTGGAGAAAAACTGTTTGCTGCAGCAGCAAAACCATTAGCAGCAGTCCCATCTGAGCAGCAGGCACATCACAAACCACACATGCCTCTGTGCACATAGGTGCATCCACCCCACTCACCTGTGCCCCACGGGTGCATAGTGCACGCCTGGCAGCAGCAGCGGGTCAAAGAACTCCGTGTAGCCTGAGAGCATGGGCCTCCATACATACACCATGTGCACCACACATGTCCACCGTGCATGCCTCTCTGCACCGCACAGTACCGCAACCAACTCACCTGTGCCCCACGGGCGCATAGTGCACACCCGGCAGCAGCAGCGGGTCGAAGAACTCCGTGTAGCCTGACGCGTGGCGGATGACGGCTTGTGGGCCACTGAGAGCGCGACACATGTCACGCGTGCCGATCTGCTCGTCCACCACCAGCACGTACTTGTACCTCCTCCTCTCTGCCACGTCATCAAGCTCCTCTGCCAGCACCACACCGTGCCTGGGGGGAAGGGGAACGGGCAGGAGATGAGGCAAGCGCATCACACGGAAACGCGGATATCCACATCACAGCGCACTCCCACCCACGCCCCAAGAGAACTGCTCCCCCTTTGAAACCATCCCGCCCCTTTCAAACAACTCCCACCTGAGCAGCAGCTTCTTGGCGTCAACGCCATCCTTCTCGCCCCACATGGTGAGCCGTGCGTCCAGCAGGTCAGGGCGGGCATCAGACATGCGGTGCAGGCGCACTCGCAGGCTGCTCGCCCAGTTGGCCTCTTTTAAAACCAGCTCCAAGGCTCTGCCACGCCAAACCGCTCTGCTCTGGCGCTGCTCATGGGGGATGGAGGGGAATAGGCAGAGGGGACATGCAGGGGATGAGGAGGAGAGGGGGCATCAGACATGCGGTGCAGGCGCACTCACAAGCTGCTGACCCAGTTGGCCTCCTTCAACACCAGCTCCAGCGCCCTGCCCCGCCATACCGCCTTGCTCTGCCTCTGGTGTGCAGGCATAGGGAGGAAAGAGAAGGGGGGAATTGAGGAGATGAGGGAAAGAGGCAGTGTGGGACATGCGGTGCAGGCGCACTTGCAGGCTGCTGGCCCAGTTGGCCTCTTTTGACACGTACCTCCTTGCTCTGCCTCTGCTGGGGGGGGCATAGAGGGGGAAGGACAGGGGGGAAAAGCAGGGGAGTGAGGAGTAGAAAGGGCGTAGGACATGCGGTGCAGGCGCACTCGCAGGCTGCTCGCCGAGTTGACCTCCTTCAACAGCAGCTCCAGCGCCCTGCTCCACCCACACTGCCTTGCCCTGCCTCTGGTCATGCAGGGGGAGGGAAAACGGGGGAACAATGCAGATGGGAAACATGTGCTAGAACAGAACATGTGGGAGGACATGTGGGAGGACATGTGGGAGGAAAGTCAAGCCAGAACACGTTCCTGTCCTCCGCCAGACAAACCTGGCAGCAACACGCTCCTCTCCTCATCCCACGATCCAGTCCCTTCTTCCCAGAAACAGCATCTGACTGAGTTGACTCACAGGCCATCACCCACCCACACGCAATCACCTGCTCCCATATCGGCCATCATTCCAGCCCGCTCCTCTCCTGCCACCCATCCCACCCTCCAAACCAAGAAGCGGACTGAGCATTGCAGGAAGAGTAGGAGGGGGAGAAGGGGAGGTGGAGGGGTTGGGGAATAGAATGTCTTGTCACCCCCTGCGTCCACTGTGTGCTCAGCACGGGTCAGGCTTGGGGATCGGGTTTGGGGCTCAGGTTTGGAGATCAGGCTTGAAGCTCAGGCTTGGGGACCAGGTTTGGGGTTTGACGTCAGGTTTGATGTCAGGTTTGAGGTCAGGTTTGAGGTCAGGTTTGAGGTCAGGTTTGAGGTCAGGTTTGACGTCAGGTTTGAGGTCAGGTTTGACGTCAGGTTTGACGTCAGGTTTGAGGTCAGGTTTGAGGTCAGGTTTGACGTCAGGTTTGACGTCAGGTTTGAGGTCAGGTTTGAGGTCAGGTTTGACGTCAGGTTTGAGGTCAGGTTTGAGGTCAGGTTTGAGGTCAGGTTTGACGTCAGGTTTGACGTCAGGTTTGAGGTCAGGTTTGAGGTCAGGTTTGAGGTCAGGTTTGAGGTCAGGTTTGACGTCAGGTTTGACGTCAGGTTTGACGTCAGGTTTGAGATCAGGTTCGAGGCCAGGTTTGACGTCAGGTTTGACGTCAGGTTTGAGGTCAGGTTTGACGTCAGGTTTGACGTCAGGTTTGAGATCAGGTTTGAGGTCAGGTTTGATGTCAGGTTTGACGTCAGGTTTGATGTCAGGTTTGACGTCAGGTTTGACGTCAGGTTTGACGTCAGGTTTGAGATCAGGTTTGAGGTAAGGTTCGACATCAGGTTTGAGGTCAGGTTTGAGGTCAGGTTTGAGGTCAGGTTTGACGTCAGGTTTGAGACGTTAGGTTTGAGATCAGGTTTGAGGTCAGGTTTGACGTCAGGTTGAGGGTCAGGTTTGAAGTCAGGTTTGACGTCAGGTTTGACGTCAGGTTTGAGGTCAGGTTTGACGTCAGGTTTGACGTCAGGTTTGAGGTCAGGTTTGAGGTCAGGTTTGACGTCAGGTTTGAGGTCAGGTTTGACGTCAGGTTTGACGAAGGTTTGACATCAGGTTTGAGGTCAGGTTTGACGTCAGGTTTGATGTCAGGTTTGAGGTCAGGTTTGACGTCAGGTTTGACGTCAGGTTTGAGGTCAGGTTTGACGTCAGGTTTGAGGTCAGGTTTGAGGTCAGGTTTGAGGTCAGGTTTGAGGTCAGGTTTGACGTCAGGTTTGAGGTCAGGTTTGACGTCAGGTTTGAGGTCAGGTTTGACGTCAGGTTTGAGGTCAGGTTTGACGTCAGGTTTGACGTCAGGTTTGACGTCAGGTTTGAGGTCAGGTTTGAGGTCAGGTTTGACGTCAGGTTTGAGGTCAGGTTTGACATCAGGTTTGAGGTCAGGTTTGACGTCAGGTTTGAGGTCAGGTTTGACGTCAGGTTTGAGATCAGGTTTGAGGTCAGGTTTGACATCAGGTTTGAGGTCAGGTTTGAGGTCAGGTTTGAGGTCAGGTTTGACGTCAGGTTTGAGGTCAGGTTTGACATCAGGTTTGAGGTCAGGTTTGACATCAGGTTTGAGGTCAGGTTTGAGGTCAGGTTTGAGGTCAGGTTTGAGGTCAGGTTTGAGACGTTAGGTTTGAGATCAGGTTTGAGGTCAGGTTTGACGTCAGGTTGAGGGTCAGGTTTGAAGTCAGGTTTGACATCAGGTTCGACGTCAGGTTTGAGGTCAGGTTTGACGTCAGGTTTGACGTCAGGTTTGAGGTCAGGTTTGACGTCAGGTTTGACGTCAGGTTTGAGGTCAGGTTTGAGGTCAGGTTTGACGTCAGGTTTGAGGTCAGGTTTGACGTCAGGTTTGACGAAGGTTTGACATCAGGTTTGAGGTCAGGTTTGACGTCAGGTTTGAGGTCAGGTTTGTCGTCAGATTTGACGTTAGGTTTGAGGTCAGGTTTGACGTCAGGTTTGAGGTCAGGTTTGACGTCAGTTTTGATGTCAGGTTCGAGGTCAGGTTTGACGTCAGTCAGGTTTGACGTCCGGTTTGAGGTCAGGTTTGAGGTCAGGTTTGACGTCAGGTTTGAGGTCAGGTTTGACGTCAGGTTTGACGAAGGTTTGACATCAGGTTTGAGGTCAGGTTTGACGTCAGGTTTGACGTCAGGTTTGACGTCAGGTTTGACGTCAGGTTTGACGTCAGGTTTGAGGTCAGGTTTGACGTCAGGTTTGAGGTCAGGTTTGACATCAGGTTTGACGTCAGGTTTGAGGTCAGGTTTGACGCCTGGTTTGACGTCAGGTTTGACGTCAGGTTTGACGTCAGGTTTGAGGTCAGGTTTGAGGTCAGGTTTGACGTTTGGTTTGAGGTCGGGTTTGAGGTCAGGTTTGAGGTCAGGTTTGACGTCAGGTTTGACGTCAGGTTTGAGGTCAGGTTTGACGTCAGGTTTGAGGTCAGGTTTGAGGTCAGGTTTGATGTCAGGTTTGAGTATAGATGGGCAACTGGCGAGTCGAGTAAAACTTGACTCGCTTTGGCGAGCTTTTTGTTGAGCTCGAGTCGAGTCGAGTTTTAATTGTCGAGTTTTTTTGGCCAAAAATCAAACTCGAAACTCGCCTCCTCTAAACTCGAGTTTTTTTAAAACTCATACGAGTTTTGAAAAACCTCGATCGAGTCAAGTAAAACTCGACTCGATGTTAACCAGCACCCACAGCCACCACTTTTGCCACACAACACCAGCCAGAGGGAGCACAGAAAAAAGCTCCATCCACACCCACTCAACATAGCAATAAGCGTATATACGCTATAAGCGTATTTGGCAACTTAGCGTCAGAGGGAGAGAATAGCTAGGTAGTCTAATAAATACAGATGTCTATTATGCTGATCTGAACTTACTCTAACACAAGGGGAGAAGACATATGGGTCCGACATTGAAGAGTGTTATAATGCTTGCGGGTGTCATTATCCTAAACCCTGAATGAAACCCTAGAAAAACACGATTTTGTTTAAGAAGAACACGTAGGCTGAGCGGACGTCTCTAGCTAAGGTAGACCTCCTAGAAAGTATCCAACGAGATGGTGGTTGCTTTTAGATCTTGAAAACCAGATCTGGAAAATGAACATTTTTCACATTTGTATCCAACCTAGATGACGCGCGAGTTTTTTTCATGCTCGAAAATGGGCAAAAAAACTCGCGATTCCAAAAAACTCACGAGTATTGAAAAAACTTGTTGGGAAAACGAGTTTCCCACGAGTTTTTTTTAAACTCGCGAGTAAAACTCGACTCGAGCGTCCGAGTTTTTTCAGCAAAAAGTCGAGCTCGAAACTCGAGCTTTCGAGTCCCTCGAACGAGTCGAGTAAAAACTCGACTCGTTTGCCCATCTATAGGTTTGAGGTCAGGTTTGACGTCAAGTTTGAGGTCAGGTTTGACGTCAGGTTTGAGGTCAGGTTTGACGTCAGGTTTGACGTCAGGTTTGACATCAGGTTTGAGGTCAGGTTTGACATCAGGTTTGAGGTCAGGTTTGACATCAGGTTTGAGGTCAGGTTTGAGGTCAGGTTTGAGGTCAGGTTTGACGTCAGGTTTGAGGTCAGGTTTGACGTCAGGTTTGAGGTCAGGTTTGACGTTTGGTTTGAGGTCGGGTTTGAGGTCAGGTTTGAGGTCAGGTTTGACGTCAGGTTTGACGTCAGGTTTGAGGTCAGGTTTGACGTCAGGTTTGAGGTCAGGTTTGAGGTCAGGTTTGACGTCAGGTTTGAGGTCAGGTTTGACATCAGGTTTGAGGTCAGGTTTGAGGTCAGGTTTGACGTCAGGTTTGAGATCAGGTTTGACGTCAGGTTTGAGACGTTAGGTTTGAGATCAGGTTTGAGGTCAGGTTTGACGTCAGGTTGAGGGTCATGTTTCAAGTCAGGTTTGACGTCAGGTTTGAGGTCAGGTTTGACGTCAGGTTTGACGTCAGGTTTGAGGTCAGGTTTGAGGTCAGGTTTGACGTCAGGTTTGAGGTCAGGTTTGACGTCAGGTTTGAGGTCAGGTTTGAGGTCAGGTTTGAGGTCAGGTTTGAGGTCAGGTTTGACGTCAGGTTTGAGGTCAGGTTTGACGTCAACAGCTGGCTGGATCAGGTTTGGGGATCTGTTTGGGGCTCAGGTTTGGGCTCAGGTTTGGGAATCTGGTTAGGGAATCAGGTTTGGGAATCAGGTGTGGTATTCAAGTCCATGAAGGCCTATGTCAATTGCCCTCCCGCGCATAGCAGCGTTCGCCAAGCAGCTGCTCTCCCTTCTCTTTCTTGCCTGTAGCCCATAATCCCTTCTTTCCCGTCTCTCACCCTTTCACAAGGCCCCAGGTTCATGGCGCTGGTGTTCAAATCAATGAAGGCGCCCACACGCACTCACCCGCTGCCACACTGGCAGTGACTCCAGCCGCTGCCTCTCTTGCCGCTCCTCCCCCCCACCAAACCCGGCAGCTGCCCCATGCTGCCATGCCTCTCCTACTTGCCCAAGGTGGCGCCAGCGACGACGACCCAGCGATCACGACCCACCACTCGACTCCCAATCGCCCACACGCACTCACCCGCTGCCATATCGGCAGTGCCTCCAGCCCCTGCCTCTCCTGCCGTGCCTCTCCTACTTGCCCCACGTGGGGCGAGTAGGAGGGCTGGTAGGCAAGGTCGAGGGGGTCGGGGAAGAGGATGTCCGTCACGCCGGGGGTCCACTGGGAGCTCAGCACTGCAAAGCCCGATCGGCCCGATGAGAGCGAGTTGTCGTAGCTGTGCGGGTCGTCACACGCGTTCAAATAGAGCTCTGCCCGCAGGGCTGGGACAAGGGGGAAGGGGGAAAGCGGGTAGGAGGGACGGAGGAAGCGTAGGTGGTGCGTGTCGTAACTCAAAATTCTAACGCAGGGAAGGGACATCGATGAAGCTCAGACGTGAGTCACTAGAAGGCAATCACCATGCAACGAGTAAGGACGACTCACTCTGCAGCTCAAAAGTGACCACAGCTTCGTGAATCATCTTCACCGCCAGGTTGATTCTGAGAAGCTTCCTCTCGTCTTCCAGGAAGGAGCCATAGCGGAAGTACACCCGCCCTTCCACCACTCGCACCTGCGCCACACACGTCATGAGCTGGGGGCGGGGAGGGCGGGGGGAGGGGGAGGGGGAGGGGTGGAGAAGGGGGACGGAAGGGTGGATGGGAGGGAGAAAAGAGGGAGAGGGAGGTAGGAGGAGGACTTTTGAGTCGACTCTAACAACCTGCGCTACCACTACTCACACCTGTGCCACACAGGTCATGAGCTGGGGGCGGGGAGGGGAGGGGGAGAAGAGAAGGGGAGCATAGAAAGAAGAGGGGAGGGAGAGGGAAAAAGGGAGGCGGAATCAGAAGGGGAAGAGGCCTTTTGAGTGGACTCTAAGAAAAGGGCAGTGCATGGTGCAGGGTAAGGTAACTTGCAGGGCAGTGCACCTTGGGGTTAATGACAGTGCATGGCATCATTCAAAGCAGTGCACCTTGGGGTTAATGACAGTGCATGGCATCATTCAAAGCAGTGCACCTTGGGGTTAATGACAGTGCATGGCATCATTCAAAGCAGTGCACCTTGGGGTTAATGACAGTGCATGGCATCATTCAAAGCAGTGCACCTTGGGGTTAATGACAGTGCATGGCATCATTCAAAGCAGTGCACCTTGGGGTTAATGACAGTGCATGGCATCATTCAAAGCAGTGCACCTTGGGGTTAATGACAGTGCATGGCATCATTCAAAGCAGTGCACCTTGGGGTTAATGACAGTGCATGGCATCATTCAAAGCAGTGCACCTTGGGGTTAATGACAGTGCATGGCATCATTCAAAGCAGTGCACCTTGGGGTTAATGACAGTGCATGGCATCATTCAAAGCAGTGCACCTTGGGGTTAATGACAGTGCATGGCATCATTCAAAGCGGTGCACCTTGGGGTTAATGACAGTGCATGGCATCATTCAAAGCGGTGCACCTTGGGGTTAATGACAGTGCATGGCATCATTCAAAGCGGTGCACCTTGGGGTTAATGGCCTTGAGTGCTGCCGCCTTGAGACATTGAGTCGACTCTAAAGTCACATGGTGCAGGATAACTTGTAGATGTGGCACACATACACATTGGGGTCAATGACTGTGCATGGCATCATTCAAAGCAGCGCACCTTGGGGTTGGTGGCGATGGCCTTGAGTGCTGCCGCCTTGATGAGGCCTGTCTTCCCCAGCCCATCCGTGATGCCCTGTGGACATGCAATGCAGAGCACATATGGAAAAACCATGCACTCATGCACCCATACATGCACCCATACATGCAACCATACACGTCAGTGAGCTCCAGTCAGGGAGCTCCAGTCAGTGAGCTCCAGTCAGGGAGCTCCAGTCAGTGAGCTCCAGTCAGTGAGCTCCAGTCAGTGAGCTCCAGTCAGGGAGCTCCAGTCAGTGAGCTCCAGTCAGTGAGCTCCAGTCAGGGAGCTCCAGTCAGTGAGCTCCAGTCAGTGAGCTCCAGTCAGTGAGCTCCAGTCAGGGAGCTCCAGTCAGTGAGCTCCAGTCAGGGAGCTCCAGTCAGTGAGCTCCAGTCAGTGAGCTCCAGTCAGTGAGCTCCAGTCAGTGAGCTCCAGTCAGTGAGCTCCAGTCAGTGAGCTCCAGTCAGTGAGCTCCAGTCAGTGAGCTCCAGTCAGTGAGCTCCAGTCAGGGAGCTCCAGTCAGGGAGCTCCAGTCAGGGAGCTCCAGTCAGGGAGCTCCAGTCAGTGAGCTCCAGTCAGTGAGCTCCAGTCAGTGAGCTCCAGTCAGTGAGCTCCAGTCAGTGAGCTCCAGTCAGGGAGCTCCAGTCAGGGAGCTCCAGTCAGGGAGCTCCAGTCAGTGAGCTCCAGTCAGTGAGCTCCAGTCAGTGAGCTCCAGTCAGTGAGCTCCAGTCAGTGAGCTCCAGTCAGTGAGCTCCAGTCAGTGAGCTCCAGTCAGGGAGCTCCAGTCAGTGAGCTCCAGTCAGTGAGCTCCAGTCAGGGAGCTCCAGTCAGTGAGCTCCAGTCAGGGAGCTCCAGTCAGTGAGCTCCAGTCAGTGAGCTCCAGTCAGGGAGCTCCAGTCAGTGAGCTCCAGTCAGTGAGCTCCAGTCAGGGAGCTCCAGTCAGTGAGCTCCAGTCAGTGAGCTCCAGTCAGTGAGCTCCAGTCAGGGAGCTCCAGTCAGGGAGCTCCAGTCAGTGAGCTCCAGTCAGTGAGCTCCAGTCAGTGAGCTCCAGTCAGTGAGCTCCAGTCAGTGAGCTCCAGTCAGTGAGCTCCAGTCAGTGAGCTCCAGTCAGGGAGCTCCAGTCAGGGAGCTCCAGTCAGTGAGCTCCAGTCAGTGAGCTCCAGTCAGTGAGCTCCAGTCAGGGAGCTCCAGTCAGGGAGCTCCAGTCAGTGAGCTCCAGTCAGTGAGCTCCAGTCAGTGAGCTCCAGTCAGTGAGCTCCAGTCAGTGAGCTCCAGTCAGTGAGCTCCAGTCAGTGAGCTCCAGTCAGTGAGCTCCAGTCAGTGAGCTCCAGTCAGTGAGCTCCAGTCAGGGAGCTCCAGTCAGTGAGCTCCAGTCAGTGAGCTCCAGTCAGTGAGCTCCAGTCAGTGAGCTCCAGTCAGTGAGCTCCAGTCAGTGAGCTCCAGTCAGTGAGCTCCAGTCAGTGAGCTCCAGTCAGTGAGCTCCAGTCAGTGAGCTCCAGTCAGTGAGCTCCAGTCAGTGAGCTCCAGTCAGTGAGCTCCAGTCAGGGAGCTCCAGTCAGTGAGCTCCAGTCAGGGAGCTCCAGTCAGTGAGCTCCAGTCAGGGAGCTCCAGTCAGTGAGCTCCAGTCAGTGAGCTCCAGTCAGTGAGCTCCAGTCAGGGAGCTCCAGTCAGTGAGCTCCAGTCAGTGAGCTCCAGTCAGGGAGCTCCAGTCAGTGAGCTCCAGTCAGTGAGCTCCAGTCAGTGAGCTCCAGTCAGGGAGCTCCAGTCAGTGAGCTCCAGTCAGGGAGCTCCAGTCAGTGAGCTCCAGTCAGTGAGCTCCAGTCAGTGAGCTCCAGTCAGGGAGCTCCAGTCAGTGAGCTCCAGTCAGTGAGCTCCAGTCAGTGAGCTCCAGTCAGTGAGCTCCAGTCAGTGAGCTCCAGTCAGGGAGCTCCAGTCAGGGAGCTCCAGTCAGGGAGCTCCAGTCAGTGAGCTCCAGTCAGTGAGCTCCAGTCAGTGAGCTCCAGTCAGTGAGCTCCAGTCAGTGAGCTCCAGTCAGGGAGCTCCAGTCAGGGAGCTCCAGTCAGGGAGCTCCAGTCAGTGAGCTCCAGTCAGTGAGCTCCAGTCAGTGAGCTCCAGTCAGTGAGCTCCAGTCAGGGAGCTCCAGTCAGTGAGCTCCAGTCAGGGAGCTCCAGTCAGTGAGCTCCAGTCAGTGAGCTCCAGTCAGGGAGCTCCAGTCAGTGAGCTCCAGTCAGTGAGCTCCAGTCAGTGAGCTCCAGTCAGGGAGCTCCAGTCAGTGAGCTCCAGTCAGTGAGCTCCAGTCAGTGAGCTCCAGTCAGGGAGCTCCAGTCAGGGAGCTCCAGTCAGTGAGCTCCAGTCAGTGAGCTCCAGTCAGTGAGCTCCAGTCAGTGAGCTCCAGTCAGGGAGCTCCAGTCAGGGAGCTCCAGTCAGTGAGCTCCAGTCAGTGAGCTCCAGTCAGTGAGCTCCAGTCAGTGAGCTCCAGTCAGTGAGCTCCAGTCAGTGAGCTCCAGTCAGGGAGCTCCAGTCAGGGAGCTCCAGTCAGTGAGCTCCAGTCAGTGAGCTCCAGTCAGTGAGCTCCAGTCAGTGAGCTCCAGTCAGTGAGCTCCAGTCAGGGAGCTCCAGTCAGGGAGCTCCAGTCAGTGAGCTCCAGTCAGTGAGCTCCAGTCAGTGAGCTCCAGTCAGTGAGCTCCAGTCAGTGAGCTCCAGTCAGGGAGCTCCAGTCAGGGAGCTCCAGTCAGGGAGCTCCAGTCAGTGAGCTCCAGTCAGTGAGCTCCAGTCAGGGAGCTCCAGTCAGTGAGCTCCAGTCAGGGAGCTCCAGTCAGTGAGCTCCAGTCAGTGAGCTCCAGTCAGTGAGCTCCAGTCAGTGAGCTCCAGTCAGTGAGCTCCAGTCAGGGAGCTCCAGTCAGTGAGCTCCAGTCAGTGAGCTCCAGTCAGTGAGCTCCAGTCAGTGAGCTCCAGTCAGTGAGCTCCAGTCAGTGAGCTCCAGTCAGGGAGCTCCAGTCAGTGAGCTCCAGTCAGGGAGCTCCAGTCAGTGAGCTCCAGTCAGTGAGCTCCAGTCAGTGAGCTCCAGTCAGTGAGCTCCAGTCAGTGAGCTCCAGTCAGTGAGCTCCAGTCAGTGAGCTCCAGTCAGTGAGCTCCAGTCAGTGAGCTCCAGTCAGGGAGCTCCAGTCAGGGAGCTCCAGTCAGGGAGCTCCAGTCAGGGAGCTCCAGTCAGTGAGCTCCAGTCAGTGAGCTCCAGTCAGTGAGCTCCAGTCAGTGAGCTCCAGTCAGTGAGCTCCAGTCAGGGAGCTCCAGTCAGGGAGCTCCAGTCAGGGAGCTCCAGTCAGTGAGCTCCAGTCAGTGAGCTCCAGTCAGTGAGCTCCAGTCAGTGAGCTCCAGTCAGTGAGCTCCAGTCAGTGAGCTCCAGTCAGTGAGCTCCAGTCAGGGAGCTCCAGTCAGTGAGCTCCAGTCAGTGAGCTCCAGTCAGGGAGCTCCAGTCAGTGAGCTCCAGTCAGGGAGCTCCAGTCAGTGAGCTCCAGTCAGTGAGCTCCAGTCAGGGAGCTCCAGTCAGTGAGCTCCAGTCAGGGAGCTCCAGTCAGTGAGCTCCAGTCAGTGAGCTCCAGTCAGTGAGCTCCAGTCAGTGAGCTCCAGTCAGTGAGCTCCAGTCAGTGAGCTCCAGTCAGTGAGCTCCAGTCAGGGAGCTCCAGTCAGGGAGCTCCAGTCAGGGAGCTCCAGTCAGTGAGCTCCAGTCAGTGAGCTCCAGTCAGTGAGCTCCAGTCAGTGAGCTCCAGTCAGGGAGCTCCAGTCAGGGAGCTCCAGTCAGGGAGCTCCAGTCAGTGAGCTCCAG